AAAATCATGCTTCCACTTAAGGACTTGATTTCCTTTTTAAAAAAAATTTATTTGAAAGACAGAGATAGATATTGAGATCTTCAATCCACTGATTCACTCTCCAAATGGCTGCAATGGCCTGGACTGGGCCTCCATTTGGGTCTCCCATGTGGGTGTAGGGGCCCAAAGACTTGGCAGTCGGCTGCTGCTTTCCCAGGCATATTCGCAGGGAGCTGGATCAGAAGCAGAGCAGCTGGGACTCAAACCAGCACTTTGATATGGAGTGCCAGCATCATAGGCAGCAGCTTACCTGGCAGTGCCACAACACTGGCCCACGTGGTAATTACTTTTTTTCCCCAAAGAAACCTTTTATTTAATGAATACAAATTTCATCAGCACAACTTTAGGAATATAGTGATTCTCGCTGCCATACCCGCCCTCCCGCCCCCCACTCCCATCCCACCTCACCTCCTACTCTCTCTCCCATTCCCTGTCCCATTTTCCATTAAGATTCATTTTCATTTAACTTTACACACAGAAAACCAACTCTATACTAAGTAAATATTTCAACAATTTGCACACAAACACACACATATAAAAAAAAACTGAGAACAAGTTTTACAGTTGATCCTCGTAATACAACTCGTAATACAATCATCCCTCCACCTTTCCTGGACTTTTGGGGCCAATGTAATCCCATACAACACTTGCTTTATAAAAACCAAAGGGGGGAAAGCGAGTTGCATTTCAGCAAACCAACCTGTCAGCCAACAGACGAACCCCTGCAGCTGATTTTGAAGCATAGGCCAGCCTAGAACGCAGCACGTTAGAGTTGGCTTCTGCAACTACCAAGAAGCTTTGCCAACTCTGCAGGTTAGAAGCACAGTAATCTACCACAAGGGCGGCTTCCTCTTCTGGTCACTGTTGTAAAATCTGGTTGTGGGAGACAGAGCTCTGATGTAGGCATAGACTATTAGATTTTAAATGACTTTGAAGTATCATAGTATTCGATTCTTTTTTTAAAGAGATTCATTTACTTGAAAGGTAGTTAGTGATAAACAGAGAAATTTCTACTATCCACTGGTTCGCTTCCCAAATGGCCACAATGGCCAGGTCTGGGCCAAACTGAAGCCAAGACCTGAAAAAGAGGGTTTTTTTTTTTTATTTTTATTTAAGATTTACTTATTTATTTGAAAAGTGAGCCGGCGCCGTGGCTCAATAGGCTAATCCTCCACCTTGCGGCGCCGGCACACCGGGTTCTAGTCCCGGTCGGGGCACCGGATTCTGTCCCGGTAGCCCCTCTTCCAGGCCAGCTCTCTGCTATGGCCAGGGAGTGCAGTGGAGGATGGCCCAGGTGCTTGGGCCCTGCACCCCATGGGAGACCAGGAAAAGCACCTGGCTCCTGGCTCCTGCCAGGATCAGCACGGTGCGCCGGCTGCAGCGGCGGCCATTGGAGGGTGAACCAACGGCAAAGGAAGACCTTTCTCTCTCTGTCTCTCTCTCACTGTCCACTCTGCCTGCCCAGAAAAAAAAAAAAATAAAAAAAAAAAAGAAGAGTGAAGTTACATAGAGGCAAAGGCAGAGAGACAGAGAGGTCTTCCATCTGCTGGTTCACTCTCTGAAAGGCCACAATGGCCAGAGCTGGGCCGATCCAAAGCCAGAAGACAGGAGCTTGTTCCGGGTCTCCCACGCGGTGCAAGAGCCCAAGGACTTGGACCATTTTCCCAAGCTTTCCTTTGGGCATTAGCAGGGAGCTGGATCAGAATGAAGCAGCTGGGACTCAAACTGGCACCCATGTGGGATGCCAGCACTACAGGCGGCGGCTTTCCCCACTACACCACAGCACCCCACCCATAAACAAACAAATCTTTAAAAAAAAAAAAAAGAAACCTCGGACTCCTCGAGGTGTCAGAATTGTAGCTAGTTGTCATTTTTGAATAGGATTATTTTAACAATGAGAATTTACAGTAATGAGAAGAAATAGAATGCCCAGAAGGAAAAGGGGGTGTGTGTCTGTCAAACATGTTCCCAAGCTGATCTGGTGCTAGAAGTCAGGTTAGTATTTGCCTTTGAGTCAGTGGAAGGGGCATGAAGGGGCTTGTAGGGCGCTGCCCATGTTCAGTTGTTCTAGGGGTACCGGTTGTAACAAGTGTTTTCTATTTCTGAAAGTTCCTCAAGCTATGATTTGTGTGCTTTTCTGTATTTTAGTACTTCAGTGAAAAGTTTTAAAATTCTTAGACTAATAGTTTTTCTTATTTTAATTATATATTTGGTTGATTATTGTTCATATAGAGAAATAGTGGTGTTGACTTTTGTGGGTTAATTTTATACCTGGCATGGTGCTGAACTCTTTGAGTTTTTTTCCAAGTAGATCATATTCACAAATGAGAATTTCAAAACTTCCAATCCTTAAAGTTGTTCTCTTTTTCAATTTTTGGATAGGATCTTTAATATCTCATTAAACAGATGGGATGACGTTTATATAAACTGTGTTAAACAATAGAGGTGTTGATGGGCATCCTTGATTTGTTAATTCATAGAGACAGTGCGTGTAGCAACAAGTGTTTGGCCTAGCAGTGAAGGTACTACATGGGATGCCTGCATTCCATGTCAGGTGCCTGCGTTCTAGTCCCAGCTCCACTGCTTGATAAGCTCCACTTATGAAGTTAAAGAAATTCTCTTCAGATTTGCTAAGAGTTTTTATCATTAGTAGATACTGAATTTATCAACTGTTCTTTCTATATTAACTAAGGTATAATTTCTTGCTCTGGATTCTTTATCTTTTTTAGTCTATTTATAGTCAGGCAGCCAATTCCTAGTCAGATATTCAGATGTTGACTTTGCCTGGAATAAACGTTACTTGGTTTTGATTTTTTTTTTTTTAAAGAATTTTATTTTATGTAAAAATCAGAGAGGAGGGAGACAAGAGAGAGGGAGAGTGCTTCTCTCCACTGGTTCGTTCTCCAGATGGCCACAATGGCCAAGGCTGGGCCAGGCTGAAGCCAAGAGAGAGGAGCTTCATCCAGGTCTTCTATATGGTTGCAGGGGGCCCAAACATTTGGACCATTTTCCACTGCTTTACCGAGGCCTTTAGCAGAGAGGTGGATTGGAAGTGGAACAGCTGAGACACAAACAAGCGGTGGCTTTACCTGGTACACAACGCTAGCCCTGATGGTTTATTTTTTATTATATAGCTGGGTTTGGTTGGCCAAAGCGTTATTTGGAGTTTTCGAATCTATGTTCACTAGTGAGACAAGGCTATGTTCTTCTCTTCCTGTGTTCTTATGAGCTTTGGAATAAAGATTATAGAAACCTTATAAAATGGGGTAGTTTTTTTTGGAAGGCAGAGAGGAGACACATAGGCAGAGATCTTCCATCCACTGGTTCACTCCCACAAAATACTGCAACAGCTAGGGTAGACCAGGTGGAAGACCCAGTTCACTCCCCAGTGGGAAGGATCCCAGAACTCCGAATGAGTCTCCACGTGGATGGCAGGGACTCAACTACTTGAGCCCTCATCTGCTGCCTCCCAGGGCACTCATGAGCAGGAAGCTGGATCAGAAGTGAAAGGACCAAGACTTGAACCCGGCGCTCTAATATGGTATGTGGGCATCCCAACCTGCTGCACCACTGCCTGCCCGGCATCACATTTAAAGAGTAGCTTTGGGCATAGGAGATGCACCCTCCACCTGTAGCACTGACATCCCATGTGGGTGCTGGTTCAAGTCCCAGCTGCTCCACTTCTGATCCAGCTCCCTGCTAATGTCTGGGAAAGCAATGGAGGATGGCCCAGGTGCTTGGGCCCCTGCACCCACATGGAAGACCCAGAAGAAGCTCCTGGCTGTGGATTAACCCAGCTCGTGCCATTTGTGACCATTTGGGGAGTGAATGAGCAGATGGAAGACCTACCTTTCCTCCCTCCCTCTCTTTCCCTCTCCCTCCCTCTGTCCCTTCCTCTTCCCCCAATCCTGGCTGTAACTCTGCCTCTCAAATAAATAAATAAATCTAACGAAAAAAAAAATAACTTTTGGGTCAGATGTTTGGTGCAGCAGTTAAGACTCCACTTGAGATGCCCCCATCCCATATCAGGGTACCTGGTGTGAGTCCTGGTTCCTCTGCTTCTGGCCCAGATTCCTGTTAACACTCACGCTGGCAGCAGTGTGGGTCCCTGCCACCTCTGTGGGAGAACTGGATTGAGGTCCAGGTGTTACTTGCAGTTAGGGACTGAACCAGCAGATAGAAGACTGATGCCTCTTTGCCTTTCAAATAATTTTAAAAATAATGAGAAGTGGCTTTTGTGATCAAAGGCTTTTTTCCTGAAGACTTGTCTTGATGTGTTGCTTTCCTTGGTATTTTGACTTCAGTTGGATATTGTAGTTTAGACCAGTTATGTCTTCTTCCATTGTAGTTGGTACCAGGGCACGGGGTGTGGAGTGTTCTTCTCAGGAGTGTGTGGGTCATGTGGCCCACAGGCCAGGGCTGGGATCATGGGGCATCAGCCCTCCGGTGACAGTGGCTGCAGCTGCGGGAAATGCCAGCCCAGAGTCCTGAAGTGGTTGCTTGGATCCCTGTAGCGGCAGGAGTGTGGCCAGGGTCACAGGTGTACCAGCCTGAAGTTGAGTTGGGTGCAGGGAGCAGCCCAAGGTCTCTACAGCATCTTGTCATGTACTTCACTTTTGTTTCCTCAGAAAGGCAATTACTCTTTCTGTGTTGCTTTGCCTGGAGCTGGGGGAGGAATGTGGTGATCAGAACTGTGGCCACCAACAGCAGCAGTAGATCACATCCAGAGCCCACAGCCCAGCGAGACCAGCACAGCGTGGGATAGGGCAGGGCGCCTATGGCCTGGGCTTCCTGCTGCTCAGGTGGACTTGCAGCACGATGCCCTGCAGCCAGCCACAGGTAGTACTGGTCAGGATATCTGCCCAGTCCGTTGAGGCCACTGGTCTCCACCAGAGTGGGTCCAGGGGCTCCATCTACAGGCGCTGGGCTAGAACAAGGATTGTTAGGGTCTGCCCAGTGTTGGGTTTGACCAGCCCAGCAGCGAATTCCAGGATGCAGTCCTGTGCTCACTTTGGTGCTCTCTCCCAGCACCACCTGGAGTCTTGTCTCTGGCTGTCAGCCCGAGGTGGGGGAAGGATGGTGAAGGCAGTCTTTTGCTGGTTGCTGGCACTCCAGGAATTGTCCTTGGCTCAAGGGGGCTTCCTTACGCAAGGTTCTGCTCCCTCCCTGAAAGCGTTCCAGGCCCAGTAACTGGTAGATGCAGGAGCAAAGCGGCCTAGCCCCCAGCCGCAACCTGGGGCACGTCTGAAGGGCGGCCCTGGTTTCAGTGACCTCCATTGGATTGGCTAAGGCTCCTGCTACAACTACATGGTGATGTATCCTCTCTCGGCTCAGTTCTGCTTCCTTCACTTCTTTCAACTAAATCTTGGTCTCTGATCTGTTTTTGGAATGGGTGTTTGGCCTAGTGGCAAAACACTGGTTAACATACCACATCCTACATCAAAAAATGGTTTCATTCCTGGCTCCAGCTTCCGGCCAATGCAGACCCTGGGAGGCAGTGATAATGGCTCAAATAACTGGGTTCCTGCCACCCATGTGGGAGACCTGCCTGGGTTGAGTTCCCAGCTCCTGGTTTCAGCCTGGCCCAGCCTCAGCTATTGTAGGCACTCTGGGGAGTGGACCAGTGGATGGGAGCTCTGGCACATGCACTCTCATATTCTCTCTCTGCCTCTCAAATAAAAAAAAAAGAAAAGAAACTTTTCCTGGGATACCTGACACCAGCTGAGAACTTAAAATACTTTTTTTTTTTTTTTAAGAGTTATTTATTTATTTGAGAGGCAGAGTTACAGAGAGAGGAAGAGACATAGAAAGAGGTCTTCCATCTGCTGGTTCACTCCCCAAACAGCTGGAGCTGTGCCTGTCTGAAGCCTGGAGCTTCTTCCAGGTCTCCCATGCGGGCGCAGGGGCCCAAGCACTTGGGCCATCTTCTACTGCTTTCCCAGGCCATTAGCAGGGAGCTGGATCAGAAGTGTCCATATGGGATGCCAGCACTACAGGTGGAGGCTTAATCTACTATGCCACAGTGCTGGCCCCTAAAATATTCTTGATAAATAGGCTTAAAAGAGAAGGATAATAGCAACACAAATATACAAAAAAAAACAAAAACAAAAAAAGCATATTGCTTGAAAAAGTAGATATATATATGCAAAAAATAATTAAAAACTTGATCTATATTTTGTACCACATAGAAAAATTAACTCAAAATGATCAAAGACCTAAATGTACAGGCTCAGCAGCTGGAGTAATGGTTAACTCGGTCTCCCAGGGGAGGTCTGGACGGCACACTGTGATGTCCACTTTCCTGTGCTGAAATTTCTGTTTCAGATAGTAATGTCTGGTTACTGTGTTGTTTGTTCTTCACATGCCTCATGGTTTTGGCACATGAGCTTAAATACCCCTGGGGATGCCAGCTACTTTAATAATGCGTATTTGCCTGTTGTTCTAATCTGTGTCTGTTCCAGTGAGGTTAGAGAGGAGGGAAGATGAGCTCCAGGGTGAAGAAAGCTGGTATCCTGGATTCCTAAAGACCACTTCATTGGGGAAATCCTAGAGTCGGGATTTTATCTTTGATGCTTATGTAGTGGTATTTAGGTATTAGTCATCAGCCTTGCTGAATTCTCTTACTAGCTCCAGTAATCTGTGTCAGTCCTCTTCGACTTTCTGTGCAGACAGTGAGACCATCTGTTAGTAATGACAGTCTTGGGGTGGACATTGGACCTAGCATTTAAGGTGCAGGTCAGGATGCCTGCAGTTAAAGTGTCCTTTGTTCCTTAGATTAACTCAACTTGGTAGTGGTCTGTGTTCTTTTTTCAATATAATGCTGGATTTGTTCAAAACCATTCTTCTGATGTTTTTCAGTGTATTGCATTTTTGTCTCTGTTTTGTTGGTTCTTTTCACAGCATCTCTGGAAGCTGATGGTAGAAGAGTCAGATTTACTTGGTCAGCTAAAGGTAATAACTTCAATTTAAAATGATGCTGGGAGCAAGGACTTAGATGCTCCAGCCTATGCTGCGAGCCCTGGTGGTCTATACCCAGTCCTCCAGAGTGGACTCATTTGTTTTCATCCAAGTGAGCAAACTATACCCAGTGCTACAAATCTACTGTAATGTAAGACTCAGGAGTTTACTTGCTTCTGGAAAAAATATAATTATGGTGCCATGAAATAAGTGGTACCAGACACGCGCCAGCTGTCCTGAGTGGAGCTGGCTGAGTGTGCCTCTTTGAAATGCCAAGTGCCTCTCTCCTTCTGCAGGTTGGGCTCGAACTGATGATGGAACTAAAGCGCATGTCTCCCTTAAGATGTTGAGGCCCTCCTGGTGCTCCTTTACTGAATGCTAAAATTTGATTCTTTCCTCAGATCATTAAAGACTTTTACCTCCTGGGACGTGGAGAACTGTTTCAGGCCTTCATCGACACAGCTCAACACATGTTAAAGACACCCCCGACGGCAGTAACCGAGCACGGTAATCCCCCGGTGCAAGGGCAGGCCATTTCTTGCCGCTGTGCTTTGGGGCCAGCTCTTCAGAAGAGCAGTCTGGCGAGTTACAGAGCAGTTTCCAAGGCTGGAAACCCTTCCGGGCAGGCTTCACGCTGCGGCCGTTAGGAACAGCTTCTTGGCCTGTGAGCCTTCCTGGAGGGTTGGTCAGGGCTTCACACCAGGTATTTTGTTCTCACCAGATTACAGCCATGTGTGCTTCGTGGAGCCGACTGGCACTGCTGTCACTTGTAGTGTTGCATTAGAGCCCTTTGGGTTGTGAATGATGGGAATCTAACCTGAGCTAACGTAGTGAGAGAGGGGGAATTTTACTCTTGTATCTAAAACTCCAGCGGGACAGGGTTATAGCTGGACCTCAGAAAACGGAAGCCGGGGACCCGGATCCCGTGCGGATTCGTGTCCTGTACCTCGCGTGTCTCTTGTGCTCTTGGTGATCTTCCAGGCCCACCTGGAAACAGGGCTGCCAGTGGCTCCCAGGAACGTGCCTCACCGTGTCCGCCAGTGAAAGACCAACCTCAGTCTCTCCGGGAGCAGCTAGAGAATTTCAGTGAAAGGGTTCTGATGGGCTGGCTCATCCCAAATCATGTACCTGCCCCTGCATCAGTGGAGTCAGACGCTAGGGCATAGCCAGTAAAATGTCCTCGCCTTGACCAGCCTGTCGCCAGTCCTGTTCAGGAGAGTTGGAGGGGGTCAGAGCCAAAACAAGAAAGGGGGTGGAGAGGCTGAAGCAGGGCGATCATCTTTCTAGCTCAGTGAATCAGTGATGTCCGCTGAACTCGTATAGTATCTTGGTTGCAGGTATTAGAAAATGTAATTCAAATTCACTTAAGCAAAGAAAAAAAGAATTTATAGATTAAAAATCCTGACACCTCTCTACCCCTAGAAGCAGATCACCTACCCCGCTGGAAGTACCAGAGCCATCCTGGGTGGGGATGATTCTCTGAGGAAAATCAGGGTGCCATTAGCAGCTCGAAAGAGGAGGCGGAGTGAGCGAGCGTCAGGCAAAGGCGACAGTGTCCAGCGCGTCCTGCTCCGAGCGTTGGGCAGGCTGGGGGACCAGGCCGCCAGGCGTCCCTGCCAGCCCTGTGTCTGTCTTGCAGACGTGAATGTGGCCTTTCAGCAGTCGGCACACAAGGTGCTGCTGGACGACGACAACCTCCTCCCTCTGCTGCACCTGACAATTGAGTATCACGGAAAGGAGCATAAAGGTTTGCGCCCTCTCCTGCCCCCGTGCCCCTGCTGCCCGCCCCCGCCCCCACTGAGCCGTGTCCTTGGGCCCTAGAGGTCGTCCTGTGCAGACCCCTAATTTTACACAGGAGACAGGGGAACTCCAAAGGAGGTGAAGTAATATGCTCAAGTCTTCTGGGTTTCGTTGTCAGGCTGCTAGAGGGGCCCCTGTTTATTTCTAGCCTCCAGACCTTAAAGCTGAAAAAAAAGACAAAATCAGAGACCTCCCCAGAGAACCCTGTGGAAGGTTCTATGCCCTCTTCTGCCTGTGTCCCCTTTATGTGCAAACGCCACAGCCTCCAGGGAGCCCTCAGGTCACAGTGTCCTACCCCTTACCGAGTCTCTAGTTCTAGTATAACCGGTTGTCTTTTTTCTTTACTTCCCTGATGACAGCAGATGCCACTCAGGGGAGAGAAGGGCTGTCTCGGGAAGCTTCTCCCCGGGAAGCCCCTGCATCTGGCTGGGCAGCCCTCGGCCTTTCCTACAAAGTCCAGTGGCCGCTGCACATTCTCTTTACTCCAGCTGTCTTGGAAAAGTGAGTGTTTCTGAGTTTCTCACAGATAAATGTTACCCACCTTACTTTTTAAATTTATTTATTTATTTGAAAGGTAAACTTTTACAGAGAAATTGAGAGACAGAGATTGTCCATCTGCTGGTTCACTCCCCAAACGACCATAACTGCTGGGGCTGGCCCGGACTGAAGCCAGGAGCCAGGAGCTTCATCTGGGCCTGCCATGTGGGTGCAGGGGCCCAAACGCTTGGGCCATCTTCCGCTGCCTTCCCAGGCACATAAGGAGGTGGATTGAAAATGGAGCAGCCAGGACTTGAACTGGCACCCATATGGGATGCCGGCACTGCACCACAGTGCTCTCCCGCTTCTAAGGGAAGAAATTATCGGGAATAGAATTGGTGGGAGCAAGACTGCCAGGTAGTTTTTAATAGTCTGTCAATCAGTGGTTGCAAACTCAGGCCTTTAGGGTGCTCATATTAATAGGTGAGGCTGTGGATGAGAGACAGCAGGGAGTGCTGGGCGCTGGAATCAGTGGGAAGGAATGGACCCACTTAAAACTGTTGTTTTAATGAGCCAAATAAGCAACTTGTAGACTGCCAGTTTGTGACCTCTGAAAAGTGGCATCTCGGGCAGCGCAGTGAGTCCAGCCTTTGATGAGGCCATCGGACCTGACAAGTTTCTTCCCCAACTTCTGTGATTTTTAATTGGTGTACCTGGAGGAGCCATCCAGCTTCATGTGCTGAAGACTTCAGCCGTGAAGAGGGAGATCACCTCCTCACTCCTGAGGAGAGGCAGTGGGGCACCAGGCCTCCTGTTTTGAGAGAGAGACACTGAGACTGCGTGTCAGCGCGAAAAGGTGAGGCTGCCTCTGGCAGGTCCAGAGCCCGTGTCCAGCTGAGCCAGCTGCAGGGTCCTCGTCCTTTTTTTATGTTCTATTGTGAGATTCTTTAAATACAAACAGTAACAGACTGTCCTGCTTCCCATCAGCAACACTATGGTACTTCTTTTTTTTTTTTTTTAAGAATTTTTTTATTTTTTATTTTTATTTTTTTGACAGGCAGAGTTAGAGAGAGAGACGGAGAGAAAGGTCTTCCTTCCGTTGGTTCACCCCCCCAAATGGCCGTATGGCTGGCGCTGCACTGATCCAAAGCCAGGAGCCAGGCGGTTCCTCCCACACGGGTGCAGGGCCCAAGCACTTGGGCCATCCTCCACTGCCTTCCCAGGCCACAACAGAGAGCTGGACTGGAAGAGGAGCAACTGGGACAGAACCGGTGCCCCAACTGGGATTAGAACTCGAAGTACCAGCGCCGCATGCAGAAGATGAGCCTAGTGAGCTGCGGCGCCAGCCATGATTTATTTATTTATTTATTTGAAAGTTACACAGAGAGAGAAGGAGAGGCAGAGAGAGAGAGAGAGGTCTTCCATCTGCTGGTTCACTCCCCAATTGTCTGCAACGGCCGAAGCTGCACTGATCCGAAGCCAAGAGCTTCTTCCAGGTCTCCCGCGCGGATGCAGGGGCACAAGGACTTGGGCCATCTTGTACTGCCTTCCCAGGCCATAGCAGAGAGTGGGATCGGAAGTGAAGCAGCCGGGTCTTGAACCAGCGCCCATATGGGATGCCGGCACTGCAGGTGCTAGGCCACAGCGCCGGCGCCGCTATAGTACTTCTTTAATCTATTCCTCCTGCCCTTTTGTTTGGCTAGAGTTTTATAAAGCAACTTTTAGATGTCATTGCGCTCGCCCAGTATGCAATTCAAAAAGGTACATTTTCCAGATAGCTCCAATGCTGTTATCATACCAGTAAAATTACCAGTAATCTCTCACCATCTAGTATTTCCAGTCCATACTGAAATTTCTCCAGTTATTGAAGGTTTTTGGGCTTGTTCAGTCAGTATCCATCCAAGGTCTACTATTTCAGTGATTCTTCTATCAGAAATAGGTAATTTTAAAAACCAAATGAAATTGAATTGTGTTCCTCAGACCTCCCTGGGAGCAAGTGCGTGCGTGCCGTTCTACCAGGAGTCAGCTGCTCCTTCGTGCGTCCTGTGAACGCGGCTCAGCAGTAAGCAGTTAGCCTCTGCGCCTGCTGGGAGCCGGGCGTCTGTTCTCCCTGGGGGGAGCCATTTGTCCTGCTCTGGGCTTCAGGGACAGAGAATCAGATTCCTCCTCCGTCTTGGTTTATTGGTCCCCACAGGACCCTCATTCCTTCCTTGCTTCCTCCCCCGCTCCACACAAAACCATTTCCCAGAGTGTCTGGCCGGCAGGCTGTGTCAGGCCCAGAGTCACTTGGGCTGGCCCTGCAAGGCAGCTGTGGGGGGGACTGGGAATTCAGTCATCTGTAGCAGGCTAATTCTAAGTTGATCATTTCCTATAGCCTGCGAATGATGTTATACATATCCACATATCCACATGACCCTTGGCAGAAAAAAGATTCCCCACCCGAGTCTACACCATGGGCCCTGCCAATCCTGCCCCCAGGTTTTCTCTCCTTTTTCTGTAGGTTTATAATACCTATCTGTATTCCCCAAAATATTTTTTAAGAATGATTTAAAAAAACTATTTGTACTCGTGATTTCCCTTTTTCATTCAAAATCCTATTGCTAAGAATCATTTTACGGCCGGTGCCGTGGCTCACTAGGCTAATCCTCCACCTGTGGCGCCGGCACACCGGGTTCTAGACCTGGTCAGGGCGCAGGATTCTGTCCCGGTTACCCCTCTTCCAGACCAGTTCTCTGCTGTGGCCCGGGAGTGCAGTGGAGGATGGCCCAAGTGCTTGGGCCCTGCACCCCATGGGAGACCAGGAGAAGCACCTGGCTCCTGCCTTCGGATCGCTGCAGCTCCGGCCGGAGCGGCCATTTGGGGGGTGAACCAACGAAAGGAAGACCTTTCTCTCTGTCTCTCTCTCTAACTCTGCCTGTCAAAAAAATAAAAATAAAAAAAATTTTAAAAAGGAATGATTTTATATGGTGTAGTTGAAGTTCATGCATTTCACCTGCTGTGTATTTCACTGTATAAATAACCTGCAGTTTCCTGGCGCACATCTGGAGCCATTCTGTGCTTCCTGCATTTTGGGGGGAGGGGTGGGTGGCACTAGCTCTGGGGTCTGTGATGTGGTAGGCGAGGTATTGGGGTGAAGTCTTTCTGTTGAACAGCCTGATTTTCTGTGCCAGGTACAATGTTGTCTTCAAGTACTTGCTGAGTGTGCGTCGGGTGCAAGCCGAACTGCAGCACTGCTGGGCCCTGCAGATGCAGCGCAAGCACCTCAAGTCCAACCAGACTGACGCCATCAAGTGGCGCCTAAGAAATCACATGGCGTTCCTGGTGGATAACCTGCAGTATTATCTCCAGGTCTGTGTGGAGGAGGAGCAGTGGGAAGGGGGGCTATGAGAAGAAGTCCAGGAGGCCAGCAGCAGGTGGTGAAGAGGGACTATAAAATGCCGGGGTTTGAGAAAGCTTAGGAGTCATAACACTAGGCATGTATCTTAAGGGCACTGTAGTGGAAAGTGGGAATAACTGGATGAAAAGGCATAGGGAGTTATTTATTGTAGACCTGCCCCTTTTTATTGCTTGCTGGAATCCTATAGGACTTAACCTGGTCAGTGAGGTGGAAGGATGTGACACGCACAGATCAGGCTGGGGCCTGGGCGAGGGGCCAGCCAAGACGTGAGGATTCTGCAGGTGACTTCTGCAGGGCGAGGCGGCAGGAGGGTGCCTGTGGTCAGCCCTGGAGTGGCTGACTTACAAGATGAATGTCTCTGCGAGCTTAGAACACGCAAGGCGCTAAAACTGGGTGTGCACCTCTCCGTCAGGTGGATGTGCTGGAGTCTCAGTTCTCGCAGCTGCTTCATCAGATCCACTCCACCCGAGACTTTGAAAGCATCCGGCTGGCTCACGACCACTTTCTGAGCAATCTGCTGGCACAGTCCTTTATCTTGCTGAAACCTGTAAGTAGGGCTGCTTGCTTTCCTTAGACGCTTCTTGCGCTTACCGTTCCCTTAGGCACTTTGAGTTGGCAGTTTGTAAAAGTATCATCGAGCAATTGTTCACCTCCAGTTTTTAGTTTGTTTTATTTATTTGAAAGGCAGAGTGACAGGGGAGAGCTTCCATCTACTAGTTCTCTTCCCAAATGCCTGCAACAGCCAGGGCTGGGCCAAGCCAAAAGCCAGGAGCCAGGAGCTCCATCTGGTCTCCCACACGGGTGGCAGGGACCCATACATAGACTTGGGCCATCACCTACTCCCTCCCAGATCCATTAGCAGGAAACTGGATCAGAGGCAGAGCAGCAGGACTCAAACTGGCACTCACATGGGATGCGTGCGCCAGCAGAGGCTCCGCTCCATTTTTAACAACTTACAAGGTGAAACTAAAAGGGAATGTCAAAAGGGAAATGCAATGGCGTTGAGTTTCTGAAATCATAGAAGGTGGTGAGCTGCTGCACATGAAGTTACGATGTGCTGAACTCCAGAAGGAAGGACTTAAAAAACCTGAGCAATCGGACACTGTGGAAAAACCACTGAAAAGCAGAAAAATAAAAGTTACTTTGCTAGAAATCTGTTGGACTGGGATCCACCTGTCATTTGAAATAAACGTTCACAGATGGGTTGGGGGTAGTCGTGGTGTGTACTCTTGTGTATATCTGAGTGCACAGATAGCTCCTTCAAGGCAGTTTTCCTCCAAACTTGGCTGCATCTGCAACTGGGATCATCTGGGACCTTGAGAAGAGTCTGGGACCAGGGCACTTAACTTAGAATCCCTGGAACGAGACCCAGGCACCAGTGCTCTGTAAAGCTCACAGGAAGAACAGGAGGATGTGGCGGATTCCCTGCCACCTCCAGGGTGCTGTCCTGCTCTGTGATGTGTCACTCCGCAGTGCCACACCCCGGATGCTTTAGAGCTCTTTTCTGTTCTGGTGTCTGCGGCTGTTGTTTGTGCTGTGCTGAGGAATAACAGAGATGCCACCCCCAACGGTTCTGTGAACTGAAAACCACCCAGAACCACGTGACACTGGACGCCGTCCTTCTAAGGCATGGGCGCGTCCTTGAGGAACAGCAGAATACCAGAGCAGGTCACCGTCCCTGTTCCCTGAGTGCTGACTGTCTGCAAGGACTGCGAATACACAGGAGTAAGCCGCGGCTCTGCCCTCCCGGAGCTCACAGTCTAGTTCAGTGAACAGGACACGACACACACACGATCGGGGCAACGCAGACACCCGTGCAGTGCCAAGGGAACAGGACAGATAACACAGGAGGGAGAGCTGAGGGCTCATGAAGGCTGCACGTCACTGAGTGGAACGTGAACTGGTGCTAGCGTGTCCCGGGTACAGGGAGCAGCGCTCAGAGCACAAACACACGCTGTGCCTCTGACGTGATAGCGGCTAGGCGAAGGTGGCGGAGTAACAGGTTGGGCAGGCTGAGAACAGCAGCGTCTGCTGGGAGGGCTGGGCTGCTTTCGCACACAGCACTGGTGGGCCGTGCAAGGGGCAGTGTCTGTCCTGGGAAGAGATCTGGGAGTCAGCTGTCAGACCGTTTTCCCAAATCTTTTCTCTTCCTCCATTTCCTAATGCCAGCTCTGTTTCCTGGTAGGTATTTCACTGCCTGAATGAAATCCTAGACCTGTGTCACAGCTTTTGCTTGCTGGTCAGTCAGAACCTGGGCCCACTGGATGAGCGTGGAGCCGCCCAGCTGAGCGTTCTTGTCAAGGTGCGTCTGGCCCTGGCCAAAGGATACTTGTGGTTTGGCCAGTGGAGAATTCCTGCTGTGTCCTCTGAGCCAGCAGAACATTTCCCCTACGTGTAACACAGAGAACTAACAAGATACAAAGATTCAAATGTTGGTATCAGCTGATGTGGAAGCAGATATTTAACGTGCTGCCTCACTGTCCAAAAATAGTTCGGCCTTGAATATTTATACGTCCACCCAATAGGCATTGGCTCTGTGCTCATTTTCTCACATCCTACTTCCTTCCTTCCTTCAGCTCGCCCTCCATCCACCGAGATGATAAAAGTATCTGCCTGTAACTTTAAAAATAGGTTCTCCCCAACCCCAGTACACGACAATATGTTAATTTGAAACCCGCTGCTGAAGTCCTGTGAGAATGTGTTTCCATAGCAGTCATGCTTCAGAGACATGGTACTAAGCAGTCATTTAAGTTGCTGGAAATGGGCACGTGGGAAGGCCACAAAGCTGGGTAGTATTCCCAACAAGGCTGTCCCTAGGAGCTCGCCCTGCCCCTCCCCAGCAGACCCTACCTGCAGGTTGGGGGCTGAGAGGAAGTGATCGCTTGGGTCCTTCTCCCAGGGCTTCAGCCGCCAGTCTTCACTGCTATTCAAGATTCTCTCCAGTGTTCGGAATCATCAGATCAATTCGGATTTGGCACAACTGCTGTTACGACTGGATTACAACAAATACTACACCCAGGCTGGTGGAACTCTGGGCAGGTAGGAACAACCCTCGTCAGAGTCTTGTGATTTTTTTTTTTAATGAGTTGCAGAATTTCAGAGCTGGAGGAAAACTTAAGCCATCATCAGATCCAAATATCCTGATTTATAACAAGGCCCAGGAATGCAGGGATGTGCAACCTGAAACAGGTTTTAAGTCCTTCGCTAGGTTTTGAATTGCTTTGCTGAGGGACAGTGTGGCTCCCACTGCCAGTTCTGACACGAAGTCACCCTGCTTTGCTGCCCAGGACCACCCCTTCCAACTCTGTGTAAAAACCGAACAGTGAGGCTGCCTGGCGTGCGCTGCCCAGAGGTCTCTGTGACTCCTGCTCTCCAAGTTCTCCCTGTCCTCCCTTCTCTTGCTAAGATGTCCTCAGGCAAACAAGTCAAAGAAACCATCCCAGGTTTCTGTCTGATTCCAGTCTCTGTGAAGACAGTCCTGGGAAAAAGTGATATTTAATGAGACTTTTTTTTTCTTTTGCAGTTTCGGGATGTGAAAATTTCTGCTTCATATACTGAGCTAACAGTCAGTCACACCATGTTTCCAAGTTCCCCTGTCACTCACCGAGTGTCTGCCCTCTCCCAGCACTCCCAGGTGGAAGCAGCCTGCCCCTAAGGTGGGTTCTTATCTGACTTAGCTGTCACTCTGTTGACCATGCACAGGTTCTGATCCTTTCCATTGTCCATGTTCCTTTATTTATCAATGACATATGAATACCTACCATGGGCCTCGGAACTGTTCCAGCTGGGGAAGATGCAGCAGTAAATAATATTTATTAAATATTTTGTGGTTCAGATATAAAAAAGGAATTATGCTTACAAATAGGCCAACTGCTGGAAATTACCACGAAGTAAGAAAGCCACACCTACGCCAGGCTTTCCCTCACAGCAAGTAACTTCTACCCAGACAGATCATCTTTCCTATTTCAGAAACTGAAGATTGAGAACCTCCCACCCCTTAAGGATCCTTAAAACTTTAAGACTGCTAAGAAAGCAACTCCAGCTAATGACAATAGGTTTAAAGTTCTTAAAATATCAAAGTCAAATTGTTAGGTTTTTAAATGCTAAAATTGCAGGCATAATTATCCCATCCTTGATGAATCACAAGAGTTGAGGTTCTCGAATATGTGCCGAGCACCACCAGCAATCACTGATGTTCATATGAATGTGGACCAAAAATAAAGTCGTGAACAGCCCTCTCCAGTGTTCTGGCTTCCCTGTGCAGTTACTGAAGCCCATCGTCATCTCTGCCTCTCCTACTGTGTGCTGTGACACCCTGTCCATTGCTGTTACCAACTGAAGACCATCCCTTCCACTGCTGCTTCCAGAGGAAGGGCCCTGCTTAAAAGAGGACATTAACAGGGATGATGCCACGGGTAGGGTAGGGAAGGACTAGTGTCCAGCAGCCATGGTGGCAGTAATAACATTGGCCTTGACTGTAACCTAGAGCATTTAACATTTCCAAGTGTCTTCATGTTGCTCTTAGAGTCATCCCATCAAGCTTATCAGCGCTGTCCATTTACAGCAATTGGTCCTTTTCCCTTGTAGCTCTGGAAGTGGGGGAGTACAGCCTATGTTAGCTGAGCTCCAGAGAGAGACAGCCTTTTTCTAGCTGTCCCCAGTTCCATTCAACACTTGGCACAACTATTAATCTGAGCATTTACCTCCTTTCAAATCAGGATTTTGGAAACAAAGTGTTTTAGACAGCCTGAGGTAATCTCTTGACAGCGATACCACAAAATACAGTTTACTCTTAACTTATTTTCCTTGGTTACCCATCCTTGTAAGAAACCTCAGAGAAAGCACTGTTCTAATAATTTGTTGAGTTTAAGCTCAAAGAAAGATGAAAAATTCCAGTTACTACAACCAAAGAGATTCAACATTTATTTTATCATAAAAGTCCAGCAAATAAAACTATATACAAGATCCATGCAAGGAATCCAGTTACACACAAGACACATTTAAAACCTGGTTAAAACACAATCTCCACAAGAGCAGGGAACAAAGCCGGTAAGACCAAGTATCTTTAGTGAGAAACATAATCATGTTTGTATTTTGGATGCTGCTTGAATCCAATTCTTTCCCCAACAATGAGGCACTGGATCACCCACTCTTGTGACACCACAGGCAGCTGCAATGCTTCGGCACACTTCAGCACCGAGGCTGGGCAGGAGGGGTCCGTCACCACCACGTCAAATACCCCTAAAGCAATATCTGAAGGAGCAGGGAAAGCGAAGGAGAAAAGGACACTTGAGTGAGCCCTTTATTACAGAGACAGACATGCTTCCTACCAGTAACAGCCACCTCAGCCCAAATTAACATCTTAGGACAAACACGGCACTACTGATGACCAAAAGGAAGTTACAGTTACTGTACACTGACACAAGAAATGTTTAACAAATACATCACTGGGAAGCAGTGGAATACAATGACTTACCTCTTGAAGGTGGTGCCTTTCTGCTGATAAGGTCAACCTATCAGGAAAGTGAGACATGGACCACAGGCCTAACAGCTATGGGTCTGAGGACATCCTTGGACAATAACAACTCATACACACTTTCCAAGTACCTTTGTTGTGGGCACTTGAATGATGCTGCTTCACAGAGGCTGCTCCACCAGTCATGAGGATCTCAGACCAGAGCTCCAGGAAATTCTGCTGTTGGTCTGACACCAAGAGTACCTTCAGATTCTGGAAAGGGTTTTCACGAGGTTGCCTACGGAGGAGTCAGACACACAGCACTTTGGAACTGGAAAGGACTTAGGACAGAAAATACCCAGCCAGTGGCCCTTCTGCAAAGGTACTCTGAGTGCTTTCACAATGAAGCTCTATTATTAGGGGACCCTCACCCTCGCCCTTTTTCTGTGAATGATGTGCACTCTCTGGGATCCTGGCCTTCTTTCTCTATTCATCCTAGGGCCAAGAATAATAGCAAAAAAATTTAATGCTTGCATAACTTAGTTCCCTAACCTTAGGGGTTGAGAAAGTGACACGTACTTTCAAAAGGTTCCTAGCCTGTGGAAATGAAATGTTTCAGTAAATTGCTGAGGTCATTTCAAACCCACTCAACATTCTAAGTTACCCTGAAAATATTTCCATTTCCAGAAACACTGATTCTCTCACCTAGATCTCCCTTCCAAAAGCTTCCCATCTTCTTGCTACACAACTTTGGGCCCTCAAATACTCACCAATCCAGGATTCTCTGTTCCTCAAGGCTGTACCCAGCTGGCAACAGGTAATTACGGTAGTTCTGGAGCTGGTTGGCATGGCAACTGTCATGGACCCAGACATGAGACACACAAGGAATCCCACTGGCAAGGCACAGGAAGTACTTCCGGGTTCGACAGTGTTGATCCGCAATTAGCAGACACTGGTAGGCTGTGTTACACTACAAGGAAAGTAACCAAGCCACTGGGTCTGGTGATTCCTATGGAAAGCTCCTGAGTAGCAGTCGTAATGAGAACAGACTGAAGCCTTCCAACTACTCAGCAAACTTCCCCAGATTCTCTGCCTTACCTGCAGCTTTCTGAGAGCCTATATCCCTGCGGGACAACAAAAACCCATAGCCCTGGCCTTTCAGGCTAGGAATCAGCAGCACCAGTGGGCATTTCCACCGAACACAAATTTCAAGCTGCTTTGGTCTCAGCAACAGAACCATAGCCATTAAGTAACCTAAGGTTCAAATTTCTCTTCCTTGTATATGGTAAGAATATTTCATGCAACATTTTGGCTGTTTCCTAGTCCCTAAAATCTCTGACCTCTCTGAGGCCTCTTCTCAGTACATCAAGTGGGCTCTTACGATTGTCACTCTGGGAAGCCACACGAAGAAACTCCTCACCTGGGCTTCATTGAAATCTTCAAGGATATAGCCAGCTCCTGCTCGAAGCTGGGATTCTGTATACTGCTTGTTGAAAGGTGGAATTTCTAAAAATTCTATATAAAAAAAAGATAATCAAGGTAGTCAATAATGACCGCGTTGGCTGGTTTCCCATTTGCTACATTCTGCCTGCTGCTTCCCACCTCCTTTTCACTCCCCAGCTATTGCCACAGCAGTGTACCCCCAAACTAGGGCTTCCCACAGCTCAGAAACTGCTCTTGAGGCCTATTTAATGCTGCTAAAAGAAGGGACAAGAACGGGGGGGAACAGAAAGATCAGGAATGGAGGTAGGTCCTAGACCTAAAAACATCAAAGGTTCCTATACTAAACCTAAGTCACAGTACTGCTCGTAGGGATGGACAACCATTTCCCACAATGTCATACTCCAATATGAATAACCCTTACCATCAGGAAGTTCTTATGTCTACCCTAAATTTCTCTCGCCTCAATTTAAACCCCTTCCCTCTACTTCTTTGGAAATGAAGCAGAGCTGATGAATACTTGATAATAAAACCTTCAAATTATCACTTTATCAGCGTTTTCTTAACCCATTATACCTGAAATTTTGATAAGCCAGAATGCTCAAGGAAAGTAAGGTTTTTAAAATGTAACCAATAACTGAAGGTTAATCAAAATCCTGTTTCAACCTCTTTGTTGAAAACTATCTACCTTTGATGATCTTGAAGTACCTCAGGGCACTGAGCATCAGTGACTGCTCTACAGTCTGGGGGTGAAGTAGAAGGTATGAGAGATGAGGCTGGAGCTGTAATGACCCTAGGCAATTAGAAATTGCTTCTTTTGACCAAATATCTAATATGAGCTTGTTTTCTTATCATCTGCTCCTCTTATATATAAATAACACATTAAAAAAAAAAGACATTAGAGATTTTCATTACGTACAAGTCCTGGGAAATTATAATTGACATTTTATCACAAACAAAAAACCAACCCAATGCATAAAGTTCAGTACCAGGACCACTCCACTTTCCCCTTAGCCCCTGTGGTACTGGGAAAGCAGGCCCCTTACAAACACGCCCTGGGTGCCCTCCTTCCCTACCAGGGCTGCTCCACTGTACTGATCCCCACCCCCATCTTTGCTTTGGTCTGTCAGGCCCCCTTCTTCACCCGTATCCTCTCTTCTTGAGTCTCCATTCGTCTCAAACTGCCCAAACTGGAGACTAAACGGCTGTTAGAATGTATCAAGCTCTTTGTCTTTGTCATAGCATTGTTTTGGTGTCACCACCTTTACCACCAAGACTCCTGCTCATGTGTCATTCATTACCCTCAGGACTGTTTCCCATGCTGACTTATTTAGGATTTTAAGCCCCAATTAGAATTACCCTGTCTATGCAGTTCATCTTGCTAATTTTTCTCCAATAATTGGGTTTGATTTTCTTTACTTTCAAGGTATGAGGGCCCTGCCAAATGGAGGTTAATTCTACCATTTAAACAGAGGAGGAAGGAACTAAATAAACTCAAATCCAGAGTCCATTCCTGTGTCTGACGAGTCCCCTGATGGTGTGCCATCTCACAAGACTGGCTACCATATTATTAGTAAATGTCTCATAAGGTGAATTTAGTATTTTACTGCACTCTTGCTATAAACAGGCATCTAAGAGTTCTCATGTATCTTGTAACACCTATCAGTTTCTTGAAAATTAATTCTGCAAAGGATTGTTTTAGTGCAGATGTCTTCAGCCTTGAGACTGAGAAACCCCTAAGCATTCTCATATGCCAAAAATATTAAAGATTCTGGTGGTGCTGGGCCAGTGTCTGTGGATGAAGGAACCAACATAAAGTAGATGTATTCACCATGACCACAAACTTTCTAACAGAAACCAGGAGACCCCTTTACAAAAGGCTACCCGAATGCCTCACTTACTTTTTCTGAATTTATTAGGTCTCTCAAAAGCACAGATTTTAAAAGAATTCAACAGCCTGATTTGCATACCGAAGTCAGCTTAGTTGACTAGGGTGCCAAGCAACAGTAAAACACGTGCAGAGCTGCCTGGTGCAGGGAAGGGCTAGGACACAGTTGGAACAATATTGTGAAAGCAAGAAGAAACCAAGACCATGATCACTGCCTCAGTGCCGTGACACACCTCTATACAGAACCCTCAAAGAATTCCTAATTATTTATGATTAAACTAAGAATGTTTGGCTAGGAAATTCCTCACATGCCTCTTTATTTCTAAATGTACCTATGTGAATTCTGTTTGACAAGCCTTTGCATACACTTAACCTTGGATATCCACAACACACCATGCCTACTCCCATAGCCCAATATCTCCACACCACAGCTTCTCTATACGCACCTTCCAAATAGCACCAACCATCACTGCAACTCCCTAATCACCCCTCCTGTGTCCTTGTACTTCTCCTCCATATGGTACAGTTGTAAAGACAGTTTTGATAAATGAGGTGTCATCCATACCTGAAACGCCTACCATCACAGATCTCTGACAACCACATTCCCTAACTGAATTCCATCTTCTAAGACTCAACAGTAGACATTCTATCTGGACCTTTAACCTTGAGACACATTTGGATAGTCACTTGTAGTGAATACATTGTGTATGTCCTTTGTCCTAGACTGCATACTTTTCAGACTTACCTTTCCCCACTTCAGCCTTCACTCAAAAGCAGTAAAAACATAGAAATGCAATGCAGAGTAAGGTCAAAGACAGGAACAAGAGCTGAAAAGACCTACAAGCACCTTCTGATCACACTAGGCACCCCACATTCCCAGTCTTACACTCTCAAAACAATGAACCTCACCTTCCATGTAGCTTTGCTCCACTAGTTGCCCCTAGAACACAAACACAGCAGGGTCCTCAGAAACCTGACCTGGATAGCTGTAATAGGGTAAAATGAACACTGGGTTCTACTCCCAAAGCTGTCACTATTGTGGATGAAAAACAATTAGTTAACCACTCCAAGCTCAACAGATGAAAGATCTATTTCTCATCTGCTTCAGAGGACTATTTTGAGGAACCACTGACTTGGGGGAATTTTACGAAAACTATAAACCAAGAAGCAGGGTACAAATTAGTTTTCACTTTTTAGACCAAGGTCCCAGTTGCTATTTGCCCCAGCTCTACAGATGCCAGGGAAACCACCAGCTCATAAAGTGAATGCAAATTAAGGAAGTAGGCATGTATCACAGTCCCAGGGCTTCCTTGGGCCTTACCCTCCTCTTCCTCACTGCTTCCTGTAGGCCCATCGGACAGCTTGGAGCGGCTGGCCAGCTTGTCACTGGTTGTGGCCATGGTGAGGAGAAAGGCATAGCCAAGAAACAAGGTCTTGTTGAGTGGTAAAGGACCCCTTTGCTCTTCCATGGTAGAGGGTTCAGTGGTGTGATCTCCACTTTCACAGGGGCTCACACACTCTCCTGCCCCCACTGCACCTGGTAAGGACAGAGGCACAGTTACAAGAGAAGACCATTGCCTGGGCAGAGGCCCTGGCCCAAGTATGACCTGAGGGATAGGCAATGTCCTGATGAACTTTTCTGAGCTAGGAACCAAAGACCATTCCTATGGCCAATAACCTAGGACCAAATTTATAATGAAGAGAAATTTACATATTTAAGTTTTAAACATCCATGACAATGTTTTCATAAACGAAAATTAACTAGTTCTGTTTCTGTTTAGCCAAACTAAGTATTTCTGAGATCATCTGAAGAAGGAAGTGGTTCTAATACAAAAAATAGGCAAATAGTGTAAAGTGTCTGGGTATTTTCAGCCCACTTTCTCTGCCCCATTCTCTGATTCCCCATAGGCTATGGGCTATTTTGAAGAGCCTTAAAACACACACACACACACACATATACACATACATCTTTATTACCAAGAAATATCCCCAGCAGATCTTCCCATCCCTTTTGTAACCCTCACCAGAATGGCACAAAGAATGCTTGGTAATAAAGTGTTTTTACAGATAGATGGAGCCACATCAAAATAGCCTGCCTCCGCGTCCCAGTTTCCAACACCTGGTTAGGGAAGTGAACCAGCTAGTCCAGGACTCCCAGAACACCCATGCTAGAAGTGCCCCAATAAGTCCTTGAAAAGGAAACAGGATACCTGGCCTGGAGAAGCTGAATCGTAGGTTCATTAGGAGGCTAAGATGACAGACAGGTCATGCATGCCTCCCTACAATAACCAGCAAAAGAACAGTCTCAGAAAAAAAAAAAAAAAAAAAAAAAAACAGTCTCAGAGGCAAAATAACGTAATATGTACAATATGATGTCATGTATAAGGCTGGAGTTCAAAATTTGAATCGAAAGCCACCTTTCTGCGCCTCAGATTCTTCAACTGGATAACAAATCCAGGCACCTAAACTTCAAAGGATTTTATGTATATCAGATAAGACATATGAAGCAGCTGGCTCCATGCCTCACAAGAATTCAAGTGGCTGTTTTTAAATATCACAATAGCAGTGGCAGGTGGAAAAAGGAAATAAAATTCAAACACACAGGAAACACAGGAACTCAGGTGCCAAGACGATGGAGTCATTATCAGGTCACCAGCCTGCACGAGCTCCGTAGGACAGAGACCAAATCACCTGCCCTCTATCTCAGAACCCAGGCAGCTGGGTCTGAGTCAATAAGAAGTAGACAGATCCTACTCCAGTCTGAGTACTGAAAATGAGAGACTGGAAAGGGATGGAATAGGAACAGGGGTGACCCAGGCTGGGCTACAATCTTCTTGTGGGAAATAGAAAGCCGGAGGGACCTGAGCACAAGGGAGAGGGAGCAGGAAACAAAGATAGCACCAGGCCAAGGCAGAGGTCTAAGACAAATTCACATATTTTGAATCTGCCTCTAATTCTCCTTCCCTTCTGTGGTAACACTGGAGTCAACGAATGTCTGTGATGGAGGCCTGGCCTCTTATCCCCCGCTCTGCTCAAAGAACAGGGAGCAAGGTGCCTCTGAGCACCTGCTGTGGGCTTGGTAGCGCACAGGACTTTACAGCCAGGACTGAGAGGCCACTGCCCTGTGTTAGGCTCCATCTTCCCAGCAGCTGACCCTGAACGTTGCAGGGGTCAGGGCAGAACGAGGCAGAAAGCAGCACTCACCAGGTTTCGCGGCAGCAGACTTGCGGCCTCGCTTGGCAGGGGACCGTTCCTCTTCAGAAGCAATAAGTTTTCTTTTGCCTGCGGGAACGCCCACAGAGGCCCGAGGACTTTCTGTGATCTTACGGGCAGGCGTTGTGCTGCTGCTGCTGGACGCAGTGGGGGTAGCTGGGGAGCTGATGTTACTGCGCCGTTTCCGCTTCCCTTCCACCAAGTTGTCTACGTTGGAACAAGCCAAAGGTTGGTCACATCCCATGGTCTGAAGCCCTGAACCCAAGAAGCTGGGCGAAGCCTGATTTAGATACCACAGTGCCCTTTTCTCTGCCTCCCACAGGGGCAGGAAGGCTCTTTTAGGCTATCATTTTCTGTTCCAGTCTTTGCCATCCCTGAAATGTCTCTGTCCCCTGAAGAACTGAGAGGGGCCGGCACTGTGGCACATTGGGTTAATGCCCTGGCCTGAAGCACCAGCATCCCATATGGGCGCTTCCAATCCACTTCCAATCCAGCTCTCTGATATGGCCTGGGAAAGCAGAAGATGGTCCCTGCACCCACGTGGGAGACCTGGAAGAAGCTCCTGGTCCCTGGCTTTGCATTGGCTCAACTCTGGCCGTTGCAGCCAACTGGGGAGTGAACCAGCAGATGGAAGACCTCTGTATCTGTGTAACTGTTTTCAAATAAATAAATAAATCTAAAAAAAAAAAAAGAACTGATGAAGCCAGAAAAACACTAAGGATGTACTCTTTGGAGCTATAGCAATAGCTATAGCAATAGCTCTTGAAAGTGACAGCTTATCACCATCTGATAAGCCACACATGGGAATAACAGGTGTGAGGGAAGCATCACTGATTGTTCCAGAAATAGCTCCTCCCACTCTAAACAGAGCAGGGGCCCAAAGGCAGCTGTTCAGGAAGCAAAGGTCTTACCTAAGCTTATATCCGCTGCTTTTGTGAGGGGTGTTACTGCCTCGTATGGGCCAAGCCCATACTGTTCTCTCAGTCTGTTTCCTTGTTCCAAGGACAGGATGACAGCCATTCGCTTATACCACTTCCTTTGGCCTTCCTTCTCAATGCTGTAGTACAGCTCCCCGGACTCCTTCCTATGTCCTTTCACCACTCCTAGAGGAAAAAAGAGAGAGAAACCTGCTGGTGGTGTCGGTGGCCAGCACCCTCTCACAAGGGCTCGGCAAGGCCAGCATGAGTAAGAAATTCAGAGAAAGTAACAGAGAACTCAAGCGAGGACCCAAAAGAATTCTAGCTGTCAATCCCAAATAGTAACAACAGTCAGGGTATAAGTAGCTAGCACTCTGGCATTAGGATAAACAATGTTTCACAACAGAAAGTGACCTTAAATTATAAAATTTCCCCATGCCAGCCATTTTGCATTGTTAATGGTTCAGCTGGTTCCCTTGAAGTGATATGGCACGTGGTTTCTGAATGACCCCATTGTAACTTACTGCTCCTTTCTGTAGTGGCTTCTCTGGAGGCTGAGTGATAAGTCTTAGGCTATAGGTGAAAGATGACATCATTTTAAAAACAGCATGTGTATATCTGATACACAGCAAAGAAAGGGAGAAAACCAAATCTTGTCTCGCTCGCCTCGCCTTTCCTAGCATCTGCGTGCCTGCTCTTTACAACTGGGAATGTGATGGCTCTGGGTTAGAAGACACAATGTGGGGCACAAAAGGACACTGGGCTAGCATTCAGGAGTACTGAGCCAAGGACTAAATCTGCTACTGACAAGCTAGGTGGCCTTGGGCAAGACCTGTTTCCGAACTGAGGGAACTCTCCTTCGCCGCTATCTAGGAATGAACACTTTATAGCATATACACACACATTCACAATCCAAGAACAAGACATACCTTTGAATACCTGTATCATTGCTATAAACAGAAAGGTCAGTTTTGTTCTTTTGTTCTCTCCCAACAGCCTGTGCCTGACTGAAAAGAAACTCAACCATCCCACAAAGGAAAAGAATACAGAGAAAAAGCAGGCCTCGGTTTCCTGTTTTTGCCACAGAATCACTCATTCCCTCTGCTGGTTGTTTCATCTACTTGCACTAAACTAAATCATAAAGACCATCGCTAAAGCACAAAGAAGCCCAAGGCCAAGAATACAGTTCACACTAATGAAGAGCTGCCAGAACTAGAAGCAGTCTAGCGCTGACATTAGGAGACAGCTTCAATAAGTGCTACACCAAATCCCTAACCTTTCATGTCAGGATTCACTCTGGATACCAAGCTCTCTATCTTTGTCTTAAAAGGGCTAAGTGTGTACTTCTGAGAGTGGCAAATGTGAGGCCACTAAGAGTGGCACAGCGGATAAAGCCACTGCCTGCGACACCCACATCCCATATGGGCACTGGTTCAAGTCTTAACTGCTCCATTTCCAATTCAGCTCCTGCAAATGGCCTGAGAAAAACAGCAGAGGATGGCCCAAGTGTTTGGGCCCCTGTCACCCATGTGGGAGACCTGTATGAAGCTCCTGGCTTTGGCCTGGTCCAGCACTGGGTATCAGGGCCATTTTGGGAGTGAACCAGCAGATGGAAGCACAATCTTTCAGTCTCTCATTCTTGCTCTCTGACTTTCAAATAAATAAATCTTTAAAATAAACAAAAGAGCAAATGCATGTGACACACAAAACTATAGGTCACAGCCCATAAGAGATCCCAATCCATGTGCTACTCCTAACAGAGCCATATCCAGCTAACAGTGTTGCCTGAACTACAAGGTGGAGGTGCCTATTTAACACTTGAAAGAAAGGGCCAGCAGCAACTACTCTAAGGATTCCAAGCACAAGAGAGCTGGAGAGGCTTAGTAGAAAGGCCTGTCTGTACGTTACCACAACTCATGTTCCAAACAAGTCCCAAAAAGGACATTTTAAAATGATAAACAATACAAATAGGAATCTTCAAGTAAGTTCACAGAAAGTAGGCAAGATTAGAACTAGTACGTGAAACAGTAATGACAAACACAAATCCCTCACTATCACCAATACTGACTACTTTAAAAATAAGAAAGCCACTGTTCTTCCAACCAAACATTAAGTGGTGGATGTGCAGGTATACAAAGACAGCACTAACAACTTCCTCCTAAGCTAAAATGTCTCAGTGTGTCTGCCACACTCACCTACTGAGCTGCCATCAAAGAGTATGGTAAGTTCAAAGGTCAGCAGTGAGACAACAGAATACGGAAAGGGAAAAAACACCAACCTTAGAGAGAAAGCTTAAAAATACCACCTTAACCAGGGATAAAGATAAGCATCTCGAGTAATGTCATGCCTGGCCACCATTTGCTACAGTGGAAAGGGTACTTCATCTCGTGATGTACTTTTTAAAAACCAAAAACCACAGTCTAATGAGAAAGCAGACACACCCAAACTGTAAGGACATTACACAAAATACCTGTCCAGTACTCCTCAAATCTGTCCAGGTCATAGAAACAAAAGACTCAGAAACTGCCACAAATCAAAGAAGACCAAAGGACACAAGATGACTAAATGCACTGTGGTATCCCGGACTGGGTCCTGAAACAGAAGGACTTTGAGATCCAATCAAAATCTGGAGTACAATTAATAGTAATGTAAAAAGACTGGTTTCTTAGTTTTGACAAATGTACCATATCAATGTGAGGTATGAATAATAAGGAAAGCTGGGTGGAAGCTTGGCAATTTTTTGTAAAACTAAATTATTCCAGAATAAGTTTATTCTAAGACAAGCAAACAACAAATGAGTAAGAGAGCCAGTGGCAAGAGGAACCAGTGTTGCAGAAATGGACTTTCTGACATTAGAGAGTCCAGAAAAGCCCTTCAGGTTGGCGTGCATGTCTTGATAGATACAGAGAGAACAGAAGTAACAGAGAACACAGTAAGTCTCTAGAAACTGCTCTTTATATTACCTGCGCTGAAATACTCATCTTCTGAAAGTGCTGTCACTTCTGTGTCCAGTGGGATGGGGTCGCACAAGAGAATGTCTTTGCCCAATACATCACACTCGTACCCATCATCAAAGAGCAATTTATACTTCCCAGCTCCAACATCTCGTGTGATTTTCCCAGAGTAAAAATAGCCATTGGATGACCATTTGGCTACGACACGAAGCCCTACAAAGCTGTTCCCTGGAGAGGAGGTATCTAAGCCATCAGAGGAGCCAGCAGCAGCCTGGAAAGGAATCTCTGGAGAGTCACTACGACGCAAAGCACCAGTGCCCACATCTGCTCGTCTGCTGGAGTCTGGCACTCGGGGCATGATTCGGGTGAAGGATTTATCATCCGGTGACATGCTGGGTGAAATGTCCTCTATGCCCAAGGGGCCAGGCACAGCTGTTTCCCTAAAGGGAGATAAGAGACAGGAGAAGGCAGTGAGAAGCAGCAGCTGTAAGTACCTATCTACCAATTTCCCCACTCCATTGTCCATGGGTCTCTTTAGCCCATTCTTGATTAACCCCATCACAGGCAAGAGCCTGGTCTCTCAGGCGCCTCACTCTGATCCCTGCCCACTCCCCAGTCAACTGGGCCCCTCTTCTCCCTCCTGACACCCCACATACTCTCTACTCCCATCTCTTCTCTCTACTCCCTTTTTTCTGAACAAGTCACAGACTAAGTGTATCTCACACTACCCGGGTACCTGGTTCCAGTGGTCCGAGAAGGCGGGCGGCCCCTTCGCCCGCGCCCACGAGGCGTGACTGGAGCCTTCCCTCCCTGTCTGATGCCAAGGCCTGCATCACCATCCTCCTCACACACTGGCGCCCCTGTCTGACTGACCCCTTTTCTAGGACTAGAGAATGAAGACAAGTTAGTCTGATAGCACCTGCTACTGGACCCCTTCTTCACAGTCTCCCCTTGGCCCTACCCTACATGTGCTGGGGATCCAGGGCAGCAGGGAGCTGGCTCATAAACCCACCACCAAAATCTCAGCCAGGGAGTGGGGAATATGGGATAGCAAGTAAAGGACATCCTCCTCTGTGACAGTCTGTTCCCTCCTCACAAAGCTTTCTACTGCTGCCCTCAAAAACAGCACACCCACTTCTGCCCTGCCTTCGCTACTTCAGGCTCTGGAAACCTGCAAAGATAACAAAAAGCAAGGGATGCATCAAGCTGGGGCCACTACCCCAAATGTCCTATACTCCCGACCAAAACGTGTAGGCTGCACAGTACAGGGGGCCTGGAGCATGTACTCAGCATGCCGAGTCCCCGCACCTGTGTTTACGTTTCCTCAGGGGCTTCCTTGCCAACCCCATCTTCCCACAGGGCTCCACCCTACCTCCCACGTGAACCCAAAATAGGAGAGGAACAAACTGGGGAGGAAGAGGAGTTGATTTATCCTAGGTCAGTAATAAGGGATTTCCCATTACTCCCCTTTTCCTGTGATATTAAAATGTCAGCAACCCTGCCCCTGCTGTGGCTCTCTCTGGAGACCCTGTCTGCACCTCAGTTTTCCTGGGCCTCCTCGGGAGCTGGGTAAGGCAAAATCTGCGGGTTCTGTCCCGCTGGTTTTCCCTTTGGGTGGTGCGGCTCCTCTCCCTGAGCTGCCACTGCTGTGCATGGCTGAGAGACTCGTCCCACTTGACGTGCGGTGTAAGCTGGATGCCTTGGAGGAGAAGGAGCTGATATCCCCCAGGTCACCTGAGGAGCCCCCAGTCTGGGAAGGGGACACTTCAGTTTCACACTCCTGACACTCTACAATTGGCTCTTCAGTTTCCTGTAAGGAAGAAATGGATACAGCTTAAAAAAGCCACAATAACATAAAAGTAAGGTGATGGCTGGAAAATACTAGAGACAGCAAGAAATTTTACTACAGAAAGGTAGCAAACAGGAGGAAACGTTTTGCAATAATGGAAATGTTCTCTATCTGTTTTGAGTAATGGTTACATAAAATTGTCAAAAGTCAAGGAGTGGCTGGCGCCATGGCTCACTAGGCTAATCCTCCGCCTTGCGACGCCGGCACACCGGGTTCTAGTCCCGGTCGGGGCACCGGATTCTGTCCCGGTTGCCCCTCTTCCAGGCCAGCTCTCTGCTGTGGCCCGGGAGTGCAGTGGAGGATGGCCCAAGTGCTTGGGCCCTGCACCCCATGGGAGACCAGGAGAAACACCTGGCTCCTGCCTTCGGATCAGCGCGGTGCGCTGGCCGCAACGCGCCAGCCATGGCGGCCATTGGAGGGTGAACCAACGACAAAAGGAAGACCTTTCTCTCTCTCTCTCACTGTCCACTCTGCCTGTCAAAAAAAAAAAAAATAAAAAAAATAAAAAAGTCAAGGAGTGAACATTTAAAGATCTGTTATACTGGGACATTGTATTTCAATAAAAAATAAAGATGGCACTCGACTGGGAAGAAAGAGAGCTAGGTAATTATTTTTCAACTGGACAAGTTCACAACCTCTGGCCACCAAGAATATTTGAACCCAGAAACAGGTGAGCAGACAGGTGAGATAATGAGATCAAAGGAGAAAATGAGTACATTACTGAAACTTTTTTAATGTTGTACTACTTTCCAATACAGCACACAATACCGTAAGATGCTTAAATGATTGTTTCTGACTTCTCCCTTCTTAAAAATATCTCCTCCTTTAAAATACTTAAAATCATTTTCTCTTCCTTTCACTCTACCACTTTGATTGCTGCTGTTCATGCTTACTCTGGGATTACCCTTAGCCTATTCCTTTAAGACTGGCACTTCCCAGGACTCTGCTCTCTTGTCTTTTCTCACTTTTATCTGCATCCCGTCTGTCTACCAACAAAACAGTGACCACTCAGGGCCAAACTCAAAGATTCAAATGCTACTGAACTCTTCCCCTTGGATGTACCACAGACACCTAAAATTCAACACATCCTAAACTCAATCTACGATTCACTCTTATTTCCTTTCCCTCAAGGAGTGAATCCTTTTATTACATCTCCCATCCCCCTGCAGTTCTCTCTGGAAGGGAATGCTTGCTTTCCACCAAACCCTCAAACCCAACAGTTTTGCAGTGAGGAATCTCCTTGATGCCCAGTGCCATTTACAGACCATTTCTGTCTCCCCACCTCCTGCTTCTAACAAACCACTATTTTCCATCCTCTTAACCCATCTTCTCTGCTCCCCTTGTTGTTATCCACTAATACTCTTCCAATTGTTCTCTGATGCATCAAAATATTAACTCCTGATTCACAGGCCCCCTGCTATCCTCTCATTCCTGCTTCTGTCTTCATTCTTAGTGGCTTACATGCACCAGATGACTCATACAGCAACTTCCAAGTTTCCTAACCTAATCCTCACAACTTTCCTTTGCTGCACCTTAGCCCCATCTATGTTCAGAGTCATTTCCCAGTAACTGCACCTCCTCCACAATCTTGGTAACATTAACATGTCCTACCTAGCTGGATCCAAGTTAGCACAGTCTGCCATGGACACCTGACCATAAGCCCAAAACTTGAGTCAGTTTTCTCTCACGGACATGAGAAGCATGCAAGGACAAGGCCTGCCTAGAACTGGGACTGCCTTTGGAACTGCCCAGCAGTCAAAGCTACTACTCTCATAATGAAAGCACACTCCAAGTCAGCTTGTTAAGATCTATTTGTTTACTTGTTTTCTTTCCTGTGTGTCTCCCCTAGAGGCCACACTGGAAGATCTTAAACATCGTTCCTGGATATAGTCCCAAAATGTATCACAAGATCTGCCACAAACAAGGCCCTCAATGTTTACTGAAATAAAAGCTCCTCCTCAAACCAGTGTCCTATTTATGGTCTCCAACTGAGTCCACATATTATCTACTACCCAGCTGCCCAGTCCAAAGCCCAGGAATATATTCAGATTCTTCCCTCTCCCTGAAACCCCATATTCAGGAATTCACCAGCACTATCAATTTTACCTTCTCTATATTTCTTACATCGCTTTCTCTCCTGCCAACCTCCACTGCCACCATCCTAACCTGACCATCATTACCTCTTACCTGAACCATCCCTCTAATCTCAAGCCACTATGATGCACTGTTGCCCTGCTGACCTCTCCGACATGCACACCTCAGTATGTCACTTCTTCCCCAAACAATTCTTTGAGGGCTCCTCATCACACAGAGGACAAAAATCTGAACTCTCTTCTGTGGTACAGAAAGCCCTTTATGCTCCAGGCCCTTACCAACCTCAACAGCCTCTCGTCACCATTCCTTACCCTGCCCCAGGCCTGTTTGCATGTCTCCTTTTCATTCTGCCTGCAGTATCCTCTTGGGCACCGCAGTGGTACTTGAGCAGTTTCTTCCATGAGGTTTTTGAGCCTCCCTCAGGTAGGCGTTGAGGCTCACGCCTTCTTTGGAGCACATCTTCCCACACCTCTGCTTCAGCAATCAACACATTCTGTTCCAACTACATGCCCACTGTAAACCACTAGGGAATAGGTACACTGTCCTTTTGGCTTCCTAGTAACAGTGTCTGCCATGGTGCTAGGAACGTAGTAAAAATCTAAAGAAGCTGCTGGTAAAGAAATGAATAAAATCTTTAAAAGTACTACCCACCAACCAGACCGCTCTCTCCTGCATACTCTGTTTTCTGCCTCTCTGCCTTTGCTTACCGAGCCCTTATTCTTTAATTCTCAAAACTTAAAACCTTCAACATCCAACTCAAATCGTTCTCACTCATCTAAAAAGACTGCATCAAAATCCCCTACACGGAAGACCTGGAAGAAGCTCCTTGCTCTTGGCTTCATCTTGGCCCAGCCCTAGACACTGTAGCCATCTGGGGAGTAAACCAGAAGATATCTCTCTCTTATTCTCTTAACTCTATAATTCACTTTTAAATAAATAAATAAATCTTTTTTAAAAAGTTTAGGGCCTGGCGCTGTGTCATAGCAGGTAAAGCCGCCACCAGCAGTGCCAGCATCCCATATGGGTGCCAGGAACTCAGCTGCTCCACTTCCAATCCAGCTCCAAGCCAATGTGCATGGGAGAGCGGCAGGAGATTGCCAAGTACTTGGGCCTCTGCACCCACATGAGAGACTGGAAAGAAGCTCCTGGCTCCTGGCTTTAGCCTGGCCACTGGGGAGTGAACCAGTAGATGGAAGATTTCTCTCTGCGTGTCTCTCCCTCTAACTCTTTCACATAAATAATAAATAAATCTTAAAAAAAAAAAAAAGACTAGGCTGGCGCCATGGCTCAATAGGCTAATCCTCCGCCTTGCGGCGCCAGCACACCGGGTTCTAGTCCTGGTCGGGCCGCTGGATTCTGTCCCGGTTGCCCCTCTTCCAGGCCAGCTCTCTGCTATGGCCTGGGAGTGCAGTGGAGGATGGCCCAAGTCCTTGGGCCCTGCACCCGCACAGGAGACCAGGAGAAGCACCTGGCTCCTGGCTTCGGATCAGCGCGATGCGCCCGCCGTGGCAGCCATTGGGGGGTGAATCAACTTCAAAAAGGAAGACCTTTCTCTCTGTCTCTCTCTCTCTCTCACTGTCCCCTCTGCCTGTCAAACAAAGGTAAAAAAAAAAAAAAAAAAAAAGACTAAAAGTTTAATGGTCAGATAAGTTTGGAAAATGCTTAAACAGAAAAAAAAAATAGATTATCTTTACAAGAACGTTTCTTGTACCACTGTAATATGCAAATTTCCTCAGAGATGGCAGTGGGGTAAACAGCATTTACTATTTCTCAAATTTTCAGGGGTTGGTGTTGTGGTTTAGCAGGTTAAAGCCACCATCTGTACCACTGGCATCCCACATGGGTGCTGGTTCAAGTTCTGGCTGCTCCACTTCTGATCCAGCTATGTGCTTATGTGCCTGGAAAAGCAGCAGAGGATGGCCAAGTGCTTGGGCCCTTGCATCCATATGGGAGACCCAGAAGAAGCTCCTGGCTTCAGATCAGCACACCTCCAGCCATTGCGGCCATTTGGGGAGTGAACCAGCAGATGGAACCTCGTTCTCTCTGTTTTTGTAACTCTGATTTTCAAATATATAAATAAATAATAAAATAAATCTTTAAAAAAAAGCTTTTTTCTCACCATGGAGCTTTTTTACCCCTCAGACTAGCTAAAAAGGACTGCTGATTCTAGGAAGATACTTTAAAAAACACCATAGGAAATATTAAATTAATATAATGTACCTGCCAGAGTTCAAAGTGGATTACAACAGTTACAAAAGTTTTTCATGAAGGTAAATTTTTTTCTCATAAAGCTGTTTTTATAATTTTTCTAAACTACTAGTACAAATAAAAAATCTACAAATAAAAATGTTTTTACGGGGCCAGCGCTGTGGCGCAGTGGGTTAACACCCTGGCCTGAAGTGCTGGCATGCCATATGGGCACCGGTTCTAGTCCCAGCTGTTCCTCTTCCAATCCAGCTCTTCGCTGTGGCCTGGGATTGCAGAAGATGGCTCGAGTCCTTGGGCCCCTGCACCTGCGTGGGAGACCCAGAAGATGCTCCTGGCTTCAGATGGCGCAGCTCAGGCGGTTGTGGCCAACTGGGGAGTGAACCAGCAGATGGAAGACCTCTCTTTGTCTCTACCTCTCTAACTCTTTCAAATAAATAAAAATAAATCTTTAAGTCCCAGTTGCTCCACTTCTGATCCAGTTCCCTGCTAATGTGCCTGTGAGGGCAGCACAGAATGGCCCAAGTGTTTGGGCCCCTGCACCCACATAGGAGACCCAGATGAAGTTCTGGGTCCAGCCCTGGCTACTGGGGCCATTTGGGAAGTGAATCAGTGGATGAATGATCTCTTTCTCTTTCTCTCTCTCCTTCCCTCCCTTTTTTCCAGTAACCCTTTCAAATAAATAAATAAATAAATATTTTTTTAAAAATCTATTTATTTATTTTGAAAGGCAGAGTTACAGAGGGGCAGAGAGAGAGAGGGAGGTCTTCCATTTGCTGGTTCACTCCCCAAATGGCTGCAATGGCCAGAGCTGGGCCAATCTGAAGCCAAGAATTTCTTCCGGGTTTCTTGACAGGTGCGGGGTCCAAGGACTTGGACCATCTTCCACTACTTTTCCTAGGCCATAGCAGAGAGCTGGGTCAGGAGTGGAACTACCAGGATTTGAAATGGCACCCAAATGGGATGCCAACACTGCAGATGGCAGCTTTATATGCCGTACCACAGCACCGGCCTCTATTCCTATTGTTTAGGCTGTGTGGCCGTCATGTCCCATAATATTTGACATTAGTTTGAGAAATTGTCATTTATTTTTTATTGAATACCAAATCTCAGAAATATTTCTTTTAAAATATTATCTTTTTTACTGTTTATTTAAAAACATTATTTGTGGATTCCTTTATTATTAATAGTTTAGAAAAATTACAAAAACAGCTTTATAAGAAAACAATTTACCTTCATGAAAAACTTTTATATATATACATAAGATTTATATATTTATTTGACAGGCAGAGTTATAGAGGAGAGGGAGAGATCCATGGAAAACTTTCATAACTGTTATAATTCACTTTAAACTCTGGCAGGTGCATTATATTAAGTGTTAGATAAAATTCTTCATTTAACATTTCATATGCTGTTTTCTAAAGTATCTTTTTGGAATTAGCAGCCCTGTTTAGCTAGTCTGAGAGGTAAAAAATCTCCATGGTGAGAAAAAAGCTTTTTTTAACAATTTTATTATTATTTATTTATATATTTGAAAGGCAGAGTTAGAGAGAGAGACAGACAGACAGACATAGAGAGAACAAAGTTCCATCTGCTGGTTCACTGCCCACATGGCTTCAATGGCTAGAGCCAGGCTGATCTGAAGCCAAGAGCTTCTTCTGGGTCTCCCACGTGGGTGCAGGGGCCCAAGCACTTGGGCAAGCAGGGCTGTCCTCTGCTGCTTTCCCAGGTGCATTAGCAGGGAGTTGGATCGGAACCAGAGCAGCTGGAACTCAATCCTGCACCCATATGGGATGCCAGCACTGCAAGCAGTGGCTTTACTTGCTATCCCACAGTGCTGGCCCCCAAATAAATAAATAAATATATTTTTAAAATGTTTTAAAAAGAATAAACTTGCTTCATTTAATAAAACTCTATACCAGAGTTTAATTCTCCCTGAGCACAATTCCCTATACTGCTAGCAGACGGGATTAAAGAAGAGTATTTGGGTAAAGGAAGGAAAAAAAGAAGGAAGAACAGCAGGAAGAAAATACTGATGCCTCTAATCAATTTATCAAATGGTTCCAAGGACTTAACATACATGATGTTTAATTCTAGAAAATATCGCTAATCTCAACAAGTATGCCAATAATATGATGACATCAGAAGTAGTCTACAATGAATCCCACTAAAAAATAAAGGTACATCTCTTACCAACAGGTCCATGACAAACACGGATGGAGACCAAGAAAGAACAAATGAGTAGACATGAAAATACATTAAAAAAAGAAGAAAAAACACAATGAGGAAACATGCATCTAAACAGTGAGTTCTAAACTTCATTTGAGTTTTTAAGGATTTAAACTAATATGTAAATTTTTGTATTTATACATGAGAAAGATTTATCAATTTGTTTTCAAGAAGAGACTGGTTAAATAACTGACCAATGGTCAAAGAGCAAACCCACGGTTTGGGAAGACAGAATGCAGGACCTCTCACTTTTAATCCGGTTCTTATATCTTTTCTAATAAAAAGATGAAGGGGAAAAGTGTGTTAGAGCTAGTGTACATGAAAGGGGAATGGGGATAGAAGTTGGCACAGGGACCCCAAATATCTACTACCTCAGTTACTTTTCTTTCTACTTCTGTTCCATCCACATAATACACATCTGTGATGACACGAGTGACGAGTGTGCGCACTTCACGGATTGTTCTCATGTGGCGATGCAAGACATGGCCATGTGGAGGCTGAGGCATTTCAAACTCTTCTTCTCCCTAGGACAGAAAATACAGACCATAAGCATGGGTCTCGCTGCTAACTGCCAGAATCACAAATCAGCTTTTCCATGAAAGGACCTGCTCAGAGGTTCCATGATCTATTGTGATGGAATCTGCCAAGCAGTCTTGTTTTCTATTCACCTCTACAAAAGAGCAGGGGTAGATCAACTGCATAGCCAGAAGCTATGAGAAGTCACTATTAGCAAGACCTAAAATGACCTATTTCTGTCTTAATCAAAATCACAGCACCTAACACTTATATGTTGAGATAATTAAGTGAACCTTTGACCTCTAAAATACATTATTTTTAGGTTGTAATCCTAATTTCGATGCTGACTTGTCAATTAGTATACAAGTTTACACTTCCAATAGCTTTTCAGTTTAAAAGGAAAGCATTCTTTAGTCCTTTACATAAAACCAGAATGATGTATCTGTTAAGTCTTAGTGCAGTCTGTTTTTTCTGCATTAAGTGAAAACAATAATTTATTCCTGGAACAAAGAACAATGATTTCTCCTAGGGTTATATATGAAATACTAAGTATATATTCTAAAGAACAGATTATAGCTAGAAAGTTGAGTTAGTGTCCAGAAGCAGAAAACATTAGCAAATTAAGATTTTGTGTCTAGTTCTATAAAGATTGTCACTTTAAATAAGACCTTATGTTCTTATGACAACTATTATATTATTTAGAAAAACTAGCCTATTTCATTCAAAAAACTTTAAATGACCATTTCCTGAAAATTATGGCTGCCTGGTACTATACTAAAAAAATACATGCTGGAAAATTCAGGACAAGTGCAAGTAATTTAAACACTTCAGAAAAAATTCAAATGTATTGTCTCTAATTTACAGAAAAAATAATAAGATCACTATTCAAATGAACAATGAGATTGTTGCCCCAAGATCCATTATTTCTTATTCACAATTTTTTATGTATAGATGATCCCCAAGTTCATGCTTTTTTCAGATATGGGTAATTTTTATTAGCACATTACATCTTCCTTTACATTTTTTAAAAAAGATTTATTTTTATTTATTTGAAAGACAGAGTTATATACAGAAAGAGAGACAGAGCTAGAGGTCTTCCATCTGCTGGTTCACTCTCCAAATGGCCACAATGGCCTGAGCTGAGCCTGTTTGAAGCCAGGAGACAGGAGCTTCTTCTGCATCTCCCACATGGGTGCAGGGGCCCAAGAACTTGGGCCATCCTCAGCTGCATTCTCAGGCATGTTAGCAGGGAGCTGGATCAGAAGTGAAACAGCCAGGACTCAAACTAGCATCCATATGGGAAGCCGGGGGCATTAACCTGCTGTGCCACAGTGCCAGCCCCAGCACATTAGATCTTAAAAGGCTTCTTTGGGGGCTGGCGCTGTGGCATAGCGGGTAAAGCCATCACCTGCATTGCTGGCGTCCCATATGGGCACTGGTTCGAGTCCCTGCTGCTCCACTTCCGATCCAGCTCTCTGCTGTGGCCTGGGAAAGAGTAGAAGATGGCCCAAGTCCTTGGGCCCCTGCACCTGCATGGGACTTCAGATCAGCTCTGCTCTGGCCACTGCAGCCAACTGGGGAGTGAACCGGCAGATGGAAGACCTTTCTCTCTCTCTCTCTGCCTCTCTTTCTCTCTGTGTAACTCTGACTTTCAAATAAACAAATCTTAAAAAAAAAAAAAAAAAAAAGAGGCCTGTTTCCTACTTGTAATCATTAGTTTATTTGAACCCACCAGTCTTATTACCTATCTATGGCCAATAACATGTGCTATAATTTCAGTCTTGTGTTTCTCAATAACACCAGCATGTTTTCTCATAACATCAGCATCCCATTTATCCACATCTTTGCTCTCCTCTCTCACTCCTCAGGCTTGGAAACTTTTTTTTTTAATTTTTGTTCTCTTAGGTTTGTTCTTATTAAAAACTAAAAGAGATCTTCCATTCAGTGGTTGACTCCCTTAATGCCCACCAACAGCCAGAGCTGATCCAGCTAAAAGCCAGCAGCCAGGAATTTAATCTGCATCTCCCACATGGGTGGGAGGGACCCAACTACTTGAATCATTACCTGTTGCTTCCTAGAGTGTGCATTAGCAAGAAGCTGGATGGGATGCAGAGGTAGGACTCGATCCCAGGCACCCCGATACAGGGTTGCTGGTGCCCCAAGTGGCACCTAACCACTGCGCCACACGCCTGCCTTTGGCTTTGCAATTCTGAGGAGGAAACGCACTTTTGTCTTCCACCTTATTTCCTCCCAAGTAAGCTGATTTCACTTTTATTATTCAGTGTTTAAAGAGAATTATATGTACCACCACAATGAAGGTAACTGCACTTTTCCTGAAAATATGGTAACATTTACCTAAATTTACCTAAAAGTTTCAATAATTTACCTGAATAATCCGCACTCAAATTCCACTTTGGAGATGAACTATCTGCTAAAATAGAGACTGCCAATTAGGTGGGAGTGATTACAGTAACTGCAGTAGTGACAGTGATGATCAATGGGTGGTAGTAGCAGCAGTGGCCAGAGCTGAGCTGATCTGAAGTCCCATGCAGGTACAGGGGCCCAAGGACTTGGGCCATCTTCTACTGCTTTCCCAGGCCATAGCAGAGAGCTGGACTGGAAGTGGAGCAGCCAAGACTAAAACTGGCACCCATATGGGATGCCAGCAATGCAGGTGGCGGCTTTACCCGCTACACCACAGCACAAGCCCCCAAACAGGCCTTTTAAGATATAATGTGCTAGGGGCTGGCACTGTAGTGCAACAGGTTAATGCCTGGGAAAGCTGTGGAAGATGGCCCAAGTGCTTGGGCCCTTGCTACCCACATGGGAGACCTGGATGGAGTTCCAGGCTCCTGGTTTCAGCCTCGCCTAGCCTTAACTATAGTGGCTATTTGGGAAATGAACCAGTGGAAGGAAGCTATCCTCTCTCTCTCTCTTTCTTTCAAGTAAATAAATAAATGTTTTTATAAATTAAATTAAAATAGCACATAGTGAAAAAGACCATAAAATTTTTATATTTTTATTTCAGAGGCAGAAAGGGAGAAAGTTCTCTTTCTTCCAATGGTTCACTCCTCAAATATCCACAATGGATGTGGCTATACCAGGCTAAAGCCAGGATCCTGGAACTGAATCCAGGTCTTCCACACAGGTGGCAAGGTCCCAAGTGCTTGAGCCATCACCTACTTCCTCCAAGGCACTTTGATATGGGAAGACAGCATACCAATTGGTAACTTAACCATTGCATCAAATATCCACTCCAAGAATATTAATTCTGAAGTCAGATACAGAGTTCAAACTGCACTTCTGTACCTACTAATGGGAAAATCTTGGCAAGTTACTTAACCTCTCCATAGTTGATTTCTTAACCTACAAAATGGAAATAATAATATCAACCTCATAATGCTGTCATATTGTAGGTATTCAATATATAGGAACTATATTTTATTTTTACTTATTTGAAAGGCAGAGTTACAGAGATTGGGAGGGGGAAGTGGGGAAAGAGAAAGAGAGACAAAGAGAACTTCAATCTGTTAGTTCACTCCCCAGATTACTAAAATGGCCCAGGGCTGGGCCATGCCCTAACCAGGAGCCAGAAGCTTCTTCCAGATCTCCCACATGGGTATAGGGGCCCAAGCACTTGGGCCATTCTCCACTGCTCTCCCAGGCACATTAGCAGATGGTTGGACTGGAAGTGGAGCAGCCGGGACTCAAACTGGCATCCATTTGGAATGCCAGCATTGCAGGCAGCAGCTTTACCTGCTATGCCACAACGCCATCACATTTTATTTTTACCAAACAAACTTGGACAACTGGAATGAGAGTCATTCTCTAGTAGGGAATTCCTAGGCAGATCCCAAAGGAGGATGATCTACCAGAGCAGCTGAAAAGGCAGTTTTATCACAATTAATGCCTTCTGGAATGACCCTGACACGGATCCCACTGCAACCTGATGAAATTCCGAACTTTCACTTATTTGTTAATACATACATGTCTATCGTACTTCCCTACTCTATTCCCAGGAATCTATTCTTCCCCCAGCCTCACTTTCATCAGCACCAATCCTTTTCATGGAATTCTCTTATCTTGGCCTCTTTTCTGCAGTTCCTAGTCACCTAGGGACTTTCCCCCATCTATAACTCCATTATTATTCTTTCAGTTCCAATACTGTAATATACAATCCTCTATGCTTTTCCTTACTATTTTCTATGCTTTGAGTTCCTGGAAACCATAGAATAAGATTACTGTGAACCATTTAGGGGAAAAGTTATTAGCAGTGATGGTCAGAAAGGAGGATGAAAAGTGATGACAGAAGCAAAAGACTGAATTATAAAAGAATATTCTAGGACCCAAACTGTATGCCAAGCTCTCCTTTCCAGTAAGACCTACCTTGCAAACTCTACCACTACCTCATGTTCCCTAAACCTATTCACTGGCTAGAGCTAATCATAATTTTCACTACCTTATCTCTATCCTGGATAAATTGTTCTTGTCTTTTAGCCACTGTCCTATACAAACCTGTTAAGAGTTGGATTACTGGAAGTGCTCCAATTGTGATTCTGTAAACATACATGAAGTCAGAAGCAGAAAGTCTGAAGCATGCGGTATGTTCTCTCACCTGGCTGTGGAGCGACTCCGTGTCATCCCCAGGAGCACCGCCAGGTTTCTCACCACTGCCCTTCTCGGTCTGCACCACTGCATCTTGTTTTCCAGAGCTGTGGTCCACTGTACTGGTCCCCTGCTCACACACATTCTTCACAGTCTGGGTTCCTGCTGAAACAGTTTCTGGGACCCACAGGGAACGCTCCATGGTCTGGATTCCTATGTTATTCTGGGTGGGCCTTTCAACCAAGGTCTTACTAGGCTTTTCCCGATCAGTGTTCTGTCTTCCTCTCTGGCCTTCTAGCACATCTGTCTCCATTGCTTCTTCTTGAGGACTAGATGGCCTCTGTGTGGCCACCTGCTGGGACAGGGGAGAAGCAGGGTCCCTGTGAGGACTGACAGGCTTCACAGACTGTTCACTCTGCCTGATCCTTTGGTCACCTTCCAATTTTTCCTTCTCCTCTTCTGCTTGAGTACTTGGAAAATGGAGCAAGTTCCCTCTGAAAATGAAGCATATAGAGAAAACATGTGCTATACTTTGAATATAGTTTGCTCCCTCCAAAATTCACGTTAAAATCTACTGCCCACTGTGATGTATTAGAAGTTGAAAACTATACCAACTATGGTATTCAGAGATTGGGCTTTGGGAGGTAATTAAGATTAAATAAGGTCATCAGGCTGGGGCACCAATGACTGAATCCTGGTAGCTTTATAAGAGACCAAAACTGGCCAGTGCCATGGCTCACGTGGGTACTCCTCCGCCTGCAGCGCTGGCACCCCCTGTTCTAGTCCCAGTTGAGGTGCTGGACTCTGTCCTGGTTGCTCCTCTTCCATTCCAGCTCTCTGCTGTGGCCCAGGAGGGCAGTGGAGAATGGCCCAAGTGCTTGGACCCTGCACCCACGTGGGAGACAGGAGGAAGCACCTGGCTCCTGGCTTCGGATCAGTGAAGTGCACCGGTTGTGGTGGCCATTTGGGGGGTGAACCAACGGAAAAGGAAGACCTTTCTCTCTGTCTCTTTTTCTCTCACTGTCTAACTCTGCCTGTCAAAAAATAATAATAATAATAATAAGAGACCAAAACTAACACATGTGCTTTCTCTCACGGCATTGATGCCCTGTGCTGCCTGGGGACTCTGCCAGCACGAAGCTCATCACTACGTGCAGCCCGTCAACTCTGGGACACACCAACAGCCAAAATAAACCTCTTTTCTTTAACTTGTCTGTCGTACTGTATTATTACTGAAAGAAACCGAGACACCTTGTCAATTAACCAGAAATATTATGTGTGGAGTCCAGGCTGCTCCACTTCTGATCCACTTCCCTAATGCACCTGGGAAAGCAGCGGAAGATGGCCCAACTCCTTGGACTCCTACAACCACATGGGAGACCCAGAAGAAGCTCCTGGTTCCTAGCTTCAGCCTGGCCCAGTACAGGCTGTTGCAGCTATTTGGGGAATGAACCAGCAGACGGAAGCTCTCTATTTCTCTCTCTCTGTAACTCTGCCTTTCAAATAAATAAATAAATCTTTAGATAGATATAATATTTTTCCCATCACTGGCTATGAGCTCTGAAATCTGACACAAGAAAATGAAGTAAACAAGAATCTGTAAAGTCCATATTAAAGTCACAGACAACAAAAGGCAGCTTTTGAAAGGAATCAATTAGGTCACGAAGTCGTCTCATTTGGCTTTATGAATGGTTCCAACATTCCTTAACTGAGTCCTTTCATTCATTCTAAATACTATTTATCCTCACCCGAGTCAATAATTTCAGAAGAAATCCAATCTGTGAAAGATAAAACTGCAGACAGGATTCTGGTTTTGTCAGCTATACTGGTATATCTACATCTAAGCATTTCAGAACAACTTGATTTTTCAAAGACAGTTCATGATACAGAACCCATTTCTTTTCACTAGCCTTCCTATTTGGGTATTAGTTATTTGCTTATTTATTCCATAAACATTTATTCAGTATCTCCTATAAGCCAGCTACCACAGTTTCTGAGGTCAATATCCTTCATAATTTTCTAGAATAATAAGGTCCAGATTAATTTCAACCAGCAGGGTTACACAGAAACTTGCCTTCTTCATCTTTATAGGTCAAATACAAGGGCCAATGCTGTGGCGTAATGGGTGAGGCTGCTGCCTACAGTGTCAGCATCCCATATGGACACTGTATGTGGGCAGCTCCACTTCTGATCTAGCACCCTGCTACTGTACCTGGGAAACCAGTAGAAAATGGCCCAAGTCCGTGGGCCGTTGCACCCACATGGGGGACCTAGAGGTGGCTCCTGGCTTCAGGTCAGTCCAGCTCCAGCTATTGTGGCCATTTGGAGAGTGAACCAGTAGGTGGAGGAAATCAATCAATCAATCTCTCTCTCTCTCTCTCCTTCTCCCCACCCCCCTTCCTGCCTCTGCCTCTCTGCAACTTTGCTTTCCAAATAAATAAATCTTAAAAAACAAACAAACAAAAAAAAAAACAAGTATAGGCATACTGGTAGAAAGTGGGGTAAGCCACTGCTGGGAAAACCTAAATCCCACGCTATTTGAGTCCTGGTGCCCTGACCTCTGGCCCAGCATTCCTACTAATGTAGCTGGGAAGATAGTGGATGATGGTTTCAATACTTGGATCCCTGCCCCCCAGATGGGAGACCCAAATAGAGTTGTAGGTTTTGGCATGGCTCAACCTTGACTATTGCAGTCATTTGGGAAGTGAACAAGCAGATAGAAGATTTCTCATCTGTCTCTCACTCCCTCCATCACTCTGCCATTTAAATAAGTAAATAAATCTTTTCAAACACACACACCTATTGGCCAGCGCCGCAGCTCACTAGGCTAATCCTCCACCTGCGGCGCCGGCACACCAGGTTCTAGTCCCGGTCGGGGTGCCGGATTCTCTCCCAGTCGCGCCTCTTCCTGTCCAGCTCTCTGCTGTGGCCGGGGAGTGCAGTGGAGGATGGCCCAAGTCCTTGGGCCCTGCACCCCATGGGAGACCAGGAAAAGCACCTGGCTCCGGGCTTCGGATCAGCGTGGTGCACTGGCCGTAGCGCCCATTGGAGGGTGAACCAACGGCAAAGGAAGACCTTTCTCTCTGTCTCTCTCTCTCTCACTGTCCACTCTGTCAAAACACACACACACACACACACACACACACACCCACACCTATTAACACAGGATTTAATATAAAATAGGTGCTTAATATATGTACTTTGTTCTCTGAAACAATAAACTGTAAAAATCTACTCATAGATAAAGTAAAAACAATCCAATGAATTTTACAGCTACACTATAGCTACAGAGAGCCAGAATAACGATAAAAGGAAGGCAGGAATTTTACAAAGCAGTTAAGATAGTATCAGAGTGCCTGAGTTAAAGTCCCAGCATCACTCTGATTCTAGCTTCTCGCTAATGCAAATCCTGGAAGACAGCAGGTAATGGCTCAAGTACTTGGATCCTGCCACTCATGTGGGAAACCTGGATCGAGCTCTGGGCTCCTTTCAGCGTGGCCCAGCTTCAGCTGTTGTGGGCATTCTGAGGAGTAAACCAGCAGTTGGAAGATGTCTCTGTCTCCATCTTTCAAATAAAATCAAAATTTTTAAAATTTTAAACACTAAGACCACTTATGAATTTCCATTTTGGTTCTGGGTATCACATTTTACAGGCATAAACTTAAACATACCCAGAAGACAAAACCAAGGGCATTATGGGCCTATGAAGAAGACTCAGGTTCTTGAAGAATATGGTAGCGTGGCCGGCACTGTGGCGCAGCGAGTTAACGCCCTGGCCTGAAGTGCCAGCATCTCATATGGGTGTCTCAGCTGCTCCACTTCTGATCCAGCTCTCTGCTGTGGCCTGGGAAAGCAGTACAAGATGGCACAAGTCCTTGGGCCCCTGCACCCACGTGGGAAACCCAGAAGAAGCTCTTGGCTCCTGGCTTTGAATTGGCCCAGCTCTGGCCGTTGCGGCCAATTGAGTGAACCAGCAGATGGAAGACCTCCCTCTCTCCTCTCTCTGCCTCTCCTTTTTTTTTTTTTTTTTGATAGGCAGAGTGGACAGTGAGAGAGAGAGAGACAGAGAGAAAGGTTTTCCTTTGCAGTTGGTTCACCCTCCAATGGCCGCCACGGCTGGCGCACTGCTGCCAGTGCACCACGCTGATCCGAAGCCAGGAGCCAGGTGCTTCTCCTGGTCTCCCATGGGGTGCAGGGCCCAAGCACTTGGGCCATCCTCCACTGCACTCCCAGGCCACAGCAGAGAGCTGGCCTGGAAGAGGGGCAACCGGGACAGAATCCGGCACCCCGACTGGGACTAGAACCCGGTGTGCCGGCGCTGCAAGGTGGAGGATTAGCCTAGTGAGCTACGGCGCCGGCCAATAAATCCTTTTTAAAAACAAGGAATCTGGTAGAGGTGCTGGCACTGTGGCATAGCAGGTAAAGCTGCCACCTGCAGCACCAGCATCCCATATGGGCACTGGTTCAAGTTCCAGCTGCTCTACTTCCCATCCAGCTCCCTGCTGGTACACCTGAGAAAGCTGTGAGGAATGGCACAGATGCTTGGGCCCCTGCACCCACGTGAGAGGCCCAGAGGAGGCTCCTGGCTCCTGGCTTCAGACCAGTCAGGCTCCAGCCACTGCAGCCATTTGGGAAGTGGGCCAACAGATGGAAGTTCTCTCTCTCTCTCTCCACCTCACTCTGTGTAACTCTGCTTTTCAAATAAACAAATAAATCTTTAAAAAAAAAAAAAAAAAGGCAGAGTGAGCATTTAGCAAAACAAACAGGAAATGAAAGATTAGATGTAGCTCACTGGGACAAGGTAACAACATCTGACTCATAGGTCCCTGAAAGGACTGAATGGGATATGCTGCCTTCAAAGCAGCCTGGGGGACTGCCGCCCTCTTTCTCTTCAGTGACGCCACGATGCAGATCTCTGTGAAGACCATCACCCTTGAGGTCGAGCCCAGTGACACCATCAAGAATGTCAAAGCCAAAATCCAAGACAAAGAAGGCATCCTGCCTGACCAGCAGTGTCTGATTTTTGCTGGCAAACAGCTGGAGGACTCCGCACATCCAGAAAGAGTCCACCTGCACCTGGTGCTCCGCCTGTGAGGCGGCGTCAGAGCCCTCCCTCCGCCAGCTGGTGCAGAAGTACAACTGAGACAAGATGATCTGCTGGAAGTGCTACTACCACCTGCACCCCTGCACCGTGAGCTGCCGCAAGAAGTCCGGCCACAGCAACAACCTGCACCCCAAGAAGGTCAAATAAGGCCCCGCCCGGCGGCCCCCACAGCCTCAATAAAACTTCCCCTTCATTGACTGGAGCATAAAAAAAAAAGCAGCTTGTTACAGAGACTTTTAATAAAAAAAAATAAAAATAAAAAAAGGCAGGAGAAAGCAGGGGTCATCTCCTACTTGGCAAGAGCTGACCTTGTCTAGATAGACAAAGTAAACAAAGCATGAAGAGCTCTTCAGGGCCTGCTCTGCTGAAAGAGAAAAGGGGAAGGTTCTGAGGTTCCTATATTGTTTAGTTCAGCCTATCAGAACAAGAGATCAAAGAGGAATGTGAAATAGAGTTCTAACTAAGAGAAACTTAGTAAATATTTGCTGCAGCTGGTGTCATCTCAGGAACCCTAACTGAACTGAGACTATGTGGTCATGGTCCAGGGAAGAGCTAAGGATTAGGAGCACCAGGAGACCCATGAGCAGCTCCTACCTCCTATGAGATGTCTAAGTGAGCACATACATAAAATACTGAGCATAGCAGATGTTCAATCAACAGAAACTGCTGAAGAAAAGCAATCAAAAGATTCAAATCACTTTCTATATGCACCGAAAATTCATGTCTGAATCTTTAAGATATCGAACATATCAACAGCCAAGCAACAATGAAAGTGAATCACAAGCCAGATCATTTCAAAATCAATCACCATTGTTTCCCAGTATTAAACAAGCTTATACATTCACCTCATGCTGCAGTCTGAAAGTGTGCCCACCCAAAATCCCTAACCTGAATCATAACCTCCAACGATGGCATGAGGAGGTGGGGACTTTGGAGACAAGAAGGTTATAAGGGAAGAGCCCTTTCAAAATAGACCTCAGAGAGCTCCCTCACTTCATCTACCTCATAGGGACAGCTGTTTCTGAACCAGGAAGCAACCTCACAAGATCCCAAATATTTAATAGCATTTGTCATGATATCTCAATTATGAATCCTTCCAGAACATGTCCCTCAAATTAAAAATTAAGCTCAAGCTCACAAAGTAATAGCAATACATATTAGATTCTGGAAAAAAAAATTCATAAATTAATGTACCCCAAAAGAGGTTACAAAAACCACGCTCAGGGCCAGCGTTGTGGTGCAGCAGGTTAAGCGACAATCTGCAATGCCAGTATCCCATATGGGTGCCAGTTCAAGTCCTGGATGCTCCACCTCAATAAAGCTCCCTGCTAATGTGCCCCGTAATACAGCGATGATGGGCCCCTGCATCCACATGAGAGATTTGGATGAAATGCCTGGCTCCTGGATGGGGCCTGGCCTAACCCTGGCCAATACGGCCATTTGGATAGCGAACCAGCGGATGCAAGATCTCTCTCTCTGTCACACTCCCTCTCTTTAACTCTGCCTTTCAAATAAATAAATAAATAAATAACTTAAAACCATGCTTACCGGATGGGTGCAGAAGGGGAATCTTCACTTCGCACCTCATCCTCTTGCCGACCTTCACAGATGCAGCTAAACACAGTCATGGTCTTCTGGGGACTAAGATAATAAATGAAAGGATTGTGTCATGTTAGTTTTCAAAGAAAAGTACCTCTACAGATTATCTTTCTAGGCACCAAGGAAGTAAAATCCTTCCTCTGCAAACAAAATTCCAAACCATCACACCAAAACACCAAATATTCCTATTTGTTTTATATTAGCACAAAAAAAATTTTCAAGGAAGATTCACAGAGAAAAAAAGATGGACAGAGGGCTATATTAAATTCCAAAGATGAAATCAGCAAAATCCAGAATATAGAAAACTACAGGACAATAATACAGTTCTTTCCAGTGATAATTTGCAAGGGGGAAGAAAGGAAGAATGGGGGACTTTATAGATTTTAAAAGACTTAGGAGACTTTAAGAGACATATCAGTCCAACACAATGTATGAACCTTATTTGGGTCTTGATGTAGTCGCAGAAATCTGAACACTGAATATTTGATAACAAGAAAAAATGTCAATTTCTTAAAAATATGTTAACAGTAAGGTGGTTAAATTTAAATAAGAATTCTTGGGGCAGCTGTTGTGTGGCTTAGCTACAACCCACGACACTGGCATCCCATATAAGCACCAGTCCTAGTTCATGCCTGATCCTATGCTGAACACTGCAGCCATTTAGGGAGTAAAGCAGCAGATGGATGCGCTCTCTCTCAGTCTCCCCCTCCCCCCTTCTCTCTAATGTTGCCAATTCAAATAAACAAATCAATCTTGCCAAAAAAAAAAAAAAAAAAAAAAAAAAACCTTGGGTCCAGTGCTATGGCATAGCAGATAAAGCCACTGCCTGCGGTGCCGGCATCCCGTATAGGTGCCAGTTCGTGTCCTGGCTGCTTCACTTCCAATCCAGCTTTCTGTTGTGGCCTGAGAAGGCAGCAGAAGATGGCCCAAGTCCTTGGGTCCCTGCACTCATGTGGGAGTCCCAGAAGAAGCTCCTGGCTCCTGGCTTCGGATAGGCCCAGCTCTAGCCGATGCAGCCAATTAGGGGGTGAACCAACAGATGGAAGACCTCTCTCTCTTTTTCTGCCTCTCCTTCTCCCTCTGCCTAACACTTTCAAATAATAAATAAATCTTTTAAAAATCCTTTTATTTTAGAGATAGCATTTAAGTATTTAAGAGATAAAATGATATAATGCTGGAACTATCTTTAAAATAATACCATAGGAAGGGGAGTGCTGGAGTATTTATAAATGAAGACTGGCCATGAGCTGGTCATTTTTGAAACATGGAGGTACTCTCTACTTCAAACTTTCCATAAATTAACTGAGAAATAAGGCAACTGCAATTAATCTAAACAGAGTTCAGACAATACTTAAAAGCCTCAGCAAAATGCACTGTCAGTGATTTCCTATGGTGGACCCAATAGTAAAATGAATTGTCAAAACATTTAAATCTAGATTCCCATATACAAAGTTTTCTTGACAACACTACCAATGAATATCCTGTTACCCCATGATCCATCATCCCCACTGTCTCTTCAAGTTTTCACTTACTTTTTCCCTCCTTACAGTCACCCCTAAGGCCTGAAGAAGCTTTAGCAGCACATGCTGTACTCTCTTAATGTGCATGGAACAGACTCAAACAAACTGTGCCTGCCAGACAATTCTGAAGTCAGAGAGATCAGACACAAACTCTACTCTTTTCAACCTGTGAGACTGCAAGATCCTTAAAGTGTCTTCTACTGAGTTAAGGACACTTGAGTACTTCTCTTCCAGTTTAAATGTGCAATTTAAATGGGAAAATGAGACCAATTAAACTAAAACATAGCTAAGAACAGATCAAAGGATTCTGAGGGGGCTCAGAAATCTACAAGTCGGCATCACAGTTAGCCCATCAAGTTTTATTTGAAATTTTCTTTCATAGCTCACTAGGCTAATCCTCCACCTGTGGCGCCGGCACACCAGGTTCTAGTCCCAGTTGCTCCTCTTCCAGTCCAGCTCTCTGCTATGGCCCGGGAAGGCAGTGGAGGATGGCCCAAGTGCTTGGGCCCTGCACCCGCATGGGAGACCAGGAAGAAGCACCTGGCTCCTGGCTTCGGATCAGCGCGATGCGCCGGCCGCAACAGCCATTGCAGGGTGAACCAATGGCAAAAGGAAGACCTTTCTCTCTGTCTCTCTCTCTCCCTGTCCACTCTGCTTGTCAAAAAAAAAAAAAAAAAAAAAAAAAAAAATCTAAAATCTAAATTTCTCTTTAAAAACATAAAGATATAGCAACATTATGTATGCATTCTCAAAAGATGACCACTGGCTGGAGCTGCACAGGAGCACACCCTGCACTTTTTTTTTTTGTTTTTTCCTTTTTGACAGGTATAGTTATAGACAGTGAGAGAGAGAGAGACAAAGGTCTTCTTTCTGTTGGGTCATCCCCCAAGTCCCCCAAATGGCCGCCACAGCTGGCGCTGCGTCGATCCAAAGCAAGGAGCCAGGTGCTTCCTCCTGGTCCCCCACGTGGGTGCAGGGGCCCAAGCACTTGGGCCATCCTCCACTGCCCTCCCGGGCCACAGCAGAGAGCTGGACTGGAAGAGGAGCAGCCAGGACTAGAACCCAGTGCCTATATGGGATGCCAGTGAGCCAGGGTGCCGGCCTGGAAGCACACCCTTCAAATGGGGCACACAGTAAGCTGGCTGTCCTCCTCAACACTCCAGCAGTCTTGCAACGGAGCCTTCTTTACTTATTCATGTACCTGCTTACTTACAAGCCTCTGATTCAAGAATCCTTGCCTGTATTTCAGTGTTGATAGTGTTTTCATATTGGATTCTCATGCCAAAAGCAAATGAAACAATTCCCTAACAGCCACCAGATGGCAAAGCTGCACCACCAAAACCACTCAGGATGAGGTTATACTCTTCCCGAAAGCATTAACGGCATTCATGACAAAGCAGAAATAACGGCTCAACATAGCAGTCTATCTGGCAGGCAGAGGATAAATGGCTTGAGTCTGTGCTGCCTAGGACCTCCAAAGGAACAACATCTATAGCTCTCTCTTGTAAATCCTTTATTACCCCACCAAGCACAACAATCTCAGTCTTGCAAAAGAAAAAGAGGGGGAAAATAAAAAGCACTCTCACATGAACAAGAGGAAAGATCTTTTTTAATGTCTTAGTTCTAACTATAACAAAAGCCTCAGTGGACTTAGAAGCATTAATAAGAAAGCCTATGATGAATTCAACACAAAACTAAATCCTTTATGCTGGAGTTTCAGGTTTTTTCATTTGTTGATAAATAATCTTCCCCTCCACTACCAGTAGCTTTATATTAAATTCCTCTAAACAGCAACTGCTCCGGTTACCTGGCAACAGTCTCAGCAACAGCAGTAGATCCATTTTTTCTTTCACTAGTTGCAGGCTCTGAATAAAAACAAAAGCAAGAACAGAAAGGAAAGAGAAACAGAATTCAGTTAGTACCACATCTCAAAACCACTACCCTGCTCTATTATTTTTTACAACAAATAACAAAAAGAAAAAAAAAAAAAAAACAAGATTAATAGGTGAATGTAAGATTCCTTGTAATTTAATGGCCCAAGTTTCTCTTCTACCAACCATCTTTCAAAATTCTTAGAGCATATGAGTGAAAAACATGAGTTACTGAGCAGCACACTTTAAAATGAAAAATTTCTACTGAGTCACAATTCAACTCTTCTTGTACAAGAAGCAAAAAATATATGAAATAAATACAAAATAAAATTTTTATATTTCAAAATCTAACATCATAAAAATTTTAAAAGCCAATTAAAAATTTAAACTCCTACTAAAATATGTAATAAAATATTTTAGGTTGATGCACAACTTCTTAACGAAGTGCTTCAGAGCAGATATTTTAAAAACACAACATTTTCAAAAAAGAATCTGCAGCAAAGAATTAAGAGTAATACTGAAAAGAGTACCATATTCTCACAACGTCACTATTATCAAGAGATTAAAATTTTTCATTAGCAATTTATTCCAGCCTTAGAGAAAATAATTTAAGATTTTTTATTTATTTGAAAGACAGAGTTACAGAGAGAAAGAGAGATAGTGATCTTCTATCCGCTGGTTCACTCCCCAGCCGGCCAGGATGGCTGGAGCTGGGCCAGGCAGAAGCCAGGAACTTTTTTTAGGTCTCCCAGTGCATGTAGGAGCCCAAGCACTTGGGCTGCTTCTGCTGCTTTCCCAAGCACATTAGCAGGGAGCTGGACTGGAGGTGAAGCAGCTGGGAGCAGGAGGGTCAGGAACTGGCATTCATTTGGAATGTTGGCATCACAGGAGGAGAGGCTTAACCTGCTACATCACAATGCCAGAAAATAATTCCTAACTATCCTTGAATGTGTCTACAATTTCATGACCCAGTAGAATCTACATAGTCCACCAAGGAAGGAGACAGTCTGAAGTTCAGTAGCTAAGAACTCTGGCTCTGAAACAGCAACCTTAGTTCAAGCTAAGTGTAAATTACTTTGTCATTGTTTCCTCACCAAAAGAAAGAGATGGGGTATGGATTTGGCCTAGTGGTTAATTAGCATGCCTGTTAACAGACTCCCTTGTCACTTATCAGACACCTTTGTCTCCTGACTCCAGCTTCCTGCTAATGAAGACCCCAAGACACAGCTTCTCAAAGTGACTGGTTTCCTGCCAACCACGTGGGAGACTTGAATTCCTGGCTCTAACCCAGAGGCACTGGAAGGCAGTTGCAGGCATCTGGGGAGTGGACTGGTGGATGGAATCTCTCTGTTTCTCTTTGTCACTTTGCTGCTCACATGGTTGACAGGGGCCAAAGAAACTGAGATAGGAAGCAGAATCACCAGCACTCTGATATAGGGTAATGACATCCCAAATGACAGCTTAATCAGTTGAGCCATGATACTGTCCCAGGATAACTTTTGTTTTTAAATAGAGATGCTAGGACATCTCTCTCTTTTTTAACGATTTGTATATTTGTTTGAAATACAAAGCCCAGAGAGAGAGAGAGAATCTTCCATCTGCTGGTTCACTCCCCAATGACTGCAACAATCAGGGCTAGGCCAGGACAAAGCCAGAAGCTAGGAGTTTCCTTTGGTTCTTCCATGAGGGTGGAGGGGCCCAAGCACTTGGACCATTTTCTGCTGCCTTCCTACGCATATCAGTAGGGAACTAGATCAGAAGTGGAGCAGCTGACACTTAAACTGGCACCCATATAGGATGCCAGTGCTGCGGCTATAACCGCTGAGCCACAGCACCATCCCAGCAGGATAACTTGTAATAAATACTTTATCATTTCATTTTTATGGTGGTGCTCCAAAGTAGGTATCTTGTATTTCCAATTTATTTATTTATTTTTAAGATTTAATTTATTTGAAAGGGTGAGTTATAAAGAGGGAGGGAGGCAGAGGCCACAACAGCTGGAGCTGGGCCAATCTGAAGCCAGGAGCCAGAAATTTGCAGGCAGCGGCTTTGTGGCTTTACTGGCTATGCCACAGCACCGGCCCCACCTGATCCTTTTAAGAGAGCAAATCTGCCAGCGCTGCGGCTCACTAGGCTAATCCTCTGCCTTGCAGCGCTGGCACACCGGGTTCTAGTCCCGGTCAGGGTGCCAGATTCTGTCCTGGTTGCCCCTCTTCCAGGCCAGCTCTCTGCTATGGCCCGGGAGTACAGTGGAGGATGGCCCAAGTGCTTGGGCCCTGCACCCCATGGGAGACCAGGAAGAAGCACCTGGCTCCTGGCTTCGGATCAGCGCAATGCGCCGGCCACAGCGTGCCGGCCGTGGCGGCCATTGGAGGGTGAACCAACGGCAAAAAGGAAGACCTTTCTCTCTGTCTGTCTCTCTCACTGTCCACTCTGCCTGTCAAAAAAAAAAAAAAAAAAGAGAGAGAGAGAGCAAATCTGATTGTATTACTCCCACGCCTAAAAGTCTTAGACCTTTTATATCCACTAAGAAGCTGATCAGAATCTGGTCCCTAGTTTGCAGTCAATCCCTTTTACCTTTTCTACGTTTTAGTTATAACAAACCAAACAACCTGTTATTTATGCAGGAAAGAGTCAATATAAATCTATAATTGAGTCCACAATCATAAATTTCCTACCCTCTTTATTTACATAGGTTTAATCCAGAGATACAGAGAGACTATAAAATGGAGTATTTTCAGTAGCATGACAGGGACAGGCTGAAAGCATAAGATTAAACATATGAGAATAAGACTTTACAAATATATCTATAACTAAAAAAGTATCACTCGTTATAACTAGAAGATAATTAATACTTCCCAGATGACCTGAAGCTACAAATTACCCAAGAGTAATATAAAATAAAACTTACTTTCCAGGCTAAACTGCAAAGACTCTTCACTTGCCTCAGTTTCAGGACTGACCAGTTTCATTCTTAGGCACAATTTATCATCCATTTCTGGGGCAGCCCCAGAATCTCTCTTTCCACTCCCAAGTAGAGGATCATTGGTCTCCACCATGCTTTCAGACATGACATCACTGGTTGCTATGGTGCTTTCTGGATAGTTGCTAATGCCTGAAAAAAGGGAGGCAAGGAGGAAGCAAGAAAGAACACTAAAACACAAACATGAAAAACTGCATTTTAAAATAATTAATTTGCCTGTTTGGCTCCACAGCTCTGCAGGACTGAAGGGGGTTCCTAGGATAGATCCTGTTACAAGTATCAACAACTACGAACTAGTATTGACACCTGGTCTTAAGAAGAGCAACAGGATTCAGTTCCACTTCTGCATCTGGACAAAGGATGCTGCATGAGCCCTCAGCCAACCCACATCTGCCAGCATCAGGCATAGGTAGCAGGAGACTCCAGACGGCATGACCGTTACCTCCCAGCACTGACTAGAGAAAACAAACAGGTTAATGTAGCTGCTTCAGGGAAGGAAGCCCCATCAAGCAGCAGCACACCAATTAGCCAGGGTACTAAATACATAGTACTTCCACCCTACATCCTCTTACTCTCATAAACAGCCCTGTATATCACTGCTTAGCACTCAGATTCCACTGCTTTACAAGTAATGCGAGAAAATCCTTATGTTCACCCTCTTTCCCTCCACCCTTTCTTTCCTTCCTCTCATCACCTAGGAACAAAATCACACTACAGCCCTGTTCTTCCCAAGTCAAAAATCAACCTTATCAGTTGGGCCCAACTTCTCAGATCTAAAAATACCACTTGTGTAAAAAATGAGTAACTCTCAAAATCTGCCTTAAATATCACTAACTTCTTTAATTCACTCACCAATAGGAGTACTGTGTCTCTTGGGCTCCAATTTTAGGTGCCCAATAAGAGGTGGGGTTGCACCAGCCAGTGGTGGAATAATATCACCTTCTTTAGGCAAAGTGAAATGAAATGGAGTTTCTGGAAAAAAAATAAACAACAACAACAACCAAAAAGCAATGATAAACAAAAAGCAACCAAATCATAAGCATAAAATACAAAAACAAATAGTGGTAATGAATTTGCTCTCAAATTCACTCCCACCACCCTCACCAGGCCTCCCAACCAATTCCCTATTACCATTTCTGCTCTCTCATTAGCCAGCAACAAAAGGACTGACACAACATAGACAACCAAAGGACAGACCAATGGAGGAAACCCGAAGTTTGGGGGACCTAAGGAACATGAGATCAAAAGGAACTTAAGAAAACCAGAGCTCCAAAACAGTACACGTGGGGATACTTAGCTATACAAATTTCAAAGTCTAAACAACAAATGCTGTGCAATGCTTACCCACAAAATTCTATATTAAGTCATTTAATAAGCTGTGGCAATCTGTAGGATCCTCCAAAAGACAAATCTGATGTGAATACTCAGAATGTACAGTCTACTCAAGGAGGTAACATGGGATTCATGGGCCAAAGGACTTCAAAGCACTCACTGGCTCTGACAAATCCAAGGGTTTCATGGTTCACCAATGCTAACCAGCATTCTCATTCTAGGCCACAGGAGTGAAGTTCATACCTAAATCCCTGAACAATGGTAAGTCCCTAAATACATGAGCATAACACTTTGATTCGTTATGAAGTTATTACAAATACAAAACATTTGTCAAGACATAAAACTACTTATTAACAACGTTCCAGTTCCAAATTTATGCTAATCAGAATTAGCAAACTGTCAAAAATCACATTTTCTTATTTATAATTGCATATCTCTTTGGAAAAATGGTCACATTTGAGAAAAAGTAAGAATTATACCAGACTGCTCTCTTCTATCCTAATTATAAAACCTTGTTCTTACTTTTCCTTGAATAGCTCAAAATAACTATGATCTGGCATACCCAATCACTACCACTCCTGAAGATAGTCTGCCTCTTTCATCTTTTTCCACTTCACTTCCATCCTTTATTATTTGTTGATACATTTTTCCTTCAAAACCATAGAACAACAACAAACCTCTTACAAGTAAACTGTAATTCAAAGGAAAGAAAAGAAAGAAACGAAATGATCTTTAAAGTATGAGGGAGAAGAGGGTGCGCATTTGGCCCAACAGTTATGACACTGAGTTAAGACATTTGTTCCATATCAAAATGCCTGAGCTGAACAACTTTCCAGCTGCTAACTCCAGCTTCCTGCTAGTGCACACCTTGGGAGGGAGCAGAGGTAGCTTAAGTAACTGGGTTCCTGTCACCCAAATGGGAGACCTGAATAGGGTTGCTGTGAGCATTTGATGACTCTCCTGGTAGATGAGAGCTCCTTTTTTTAAATTTATTTATTTATTTATTTGAAAGTCAGAGTTACATAGAGAGAGAAGAAAAGGCAGAGAAAGAGAGGTCTTCCATCCACTGGTTTACTCCCCAGTTGACTGCAATAACCAGAACTGTGCCAATCCAAAGGCAGGAGCTTCTTCTGGGTCTCTCACACAGGTGCAGGAGCCCAAAGACTTGGGCCATCTTCAACTGTTTTCCCAGGCCACAGCAGAGAGCTGGATTGGAATTCAGTGCTGGGACTTGAACCAGCGCCCATATGGGATGCCGACACTTCAGGTGGCAGCTTTACCGACTACACCACAGCGCCGGACCTGAGAGCTCACTCTATCAGTTTCTCTCTCTCAAGTAAACAAATGAATACTTTTTTTTTTTTTTTTTGACAGGCAGAGTGGACAGTGAGAGAGAGAGACAGACAGAAAGGTCTTCCTTTGCCGTTGGTTCACCCTCCAATGGCCGCCACGGCCGGCGCGCTGCGGCCGGCACACCGCGCTGATCCGATGGCAGGAGCCAGGTACTTCTCCTGGTCTCCCATGGGGTGCAGGGCCCAAGCACTTGGGCCATCCTCCACTGCACTCCCAGGCCACAGCAGAGAGCTGGCCTGGAAGAGGGGCAACCGGGACAGAATCCGGCGCCCCGACCAGGACTAGAACCCGGTGTGCCGGCGCCGCTAGGCGGAGGATTAGCCTAGTGAGCCGCGGCGCCAGCCCAACATTTTAAAAGCAATAAAGTCGGCACCGCGGCTCACTAGGCTAATCCTCCACCTGCGGCACCAGCACCCCGGGTTCTAGTCCCGGTCGGGGCGCCAGATTCTGTCCTGGTTGCCCCTCTTCCAGGCCAGCTCTCTGCTGTGGCCAGGGAATGCAGTGGAGGATGGCCCAAGTGCTTGGGCCCTGCACCCCATGGGAGACCAGGAGAAGTACCTGGCTCCTGCCATCGGATCAGCGCGGTGTGCCGGCCGCAGCGTGCCGGCCGTGGCGGCCATTGGAGGGTGAACCAACGGCAAAGGAAGACCTTTCTGTCTGTCTCTCTCTCTCACTGTCCACTCTGCCTGTCAAAAAAAAAAAAAAAAGGCAATAAAGAATGAAAATATATATTCTCAGGGCCAGTGCTGTGATATAGTAGGTTAAACCGCCGCCTACAGTGCTGGCATTACATATGGGCACTGGTTCAAGTCCCAGATACTCCTTCCAATCCAGCTCTGCTATGGCCTGGGAAAGCAGTACAAAATGGCCCAAATCCTTGAGCCCCTACACCCATGTGGGAGACCCAGAAGAAGCTCCTGGCTCCTGGCTTCGGATCAGCACAGCTCCTGCTGCTGCGGCCAACTGGGGAGTGAACCAGCGGATGGAAGACCTCTCTCTCTCTCTCGCCTCTCCTTCTTTCTGTGTGTAACTCTTGACTTTCAAACAAATAAATAAATCTTTTTTTAAAAAAGGTAAGATAAAATATATGTTTTCAACTAAAGAAACTGTAAAGCAAATAAGTAGAGAATCTCAATACCGTAACTAACTGGTCACGACTTCTGCCACAGATAGAGAAAGAACAGAAATGGATGAGGTAAACAAGCATTCATTTTCTGGTTGCTATGTATAAAGCAGGTTTTTCAGGTTAATAAAGTCCTTAGAAAACATACAGAAATTAAGGACCAGAAGTATGGTACAGGGGGTTAAGCTACCATTTGCAGTGCCACTAAAACCATATGGAGTACTGGTTAAAGTCCTGGCTACTCCACTTCCAATCAGTTCCTCTGCTGATGTACCTAGGATGGCAGCAGATGGCCCAAGTGTCATCCTGTGGGAAACCAGGATGGAATACCTGGCTCTAGGCTTTGGGGAGTGAATGAGCAGATGGAAAACCTCTTTCTCTCTCTCCTGCCACTCCACCTTACAAATAAGTACATTTTTAAAAAAGATTTATTTATTGTATTTGAAAGGCAGAGTTACAGAGAGGCAGAGAGAGAGAGAGAGAGGTCTTCAATCCATGGGTTCACTTTCCAGCTGTGCCAACACGAAGCCAGGCTGGGTCTCCCACACGGGTACAGGGCCCAAGGACTTGCGCCATCTTCTACTGCCTTCCCAGGCCATAGCAGAAAGCTGGACTGGAAGTGGAGCAGCTGAGACTCAAACCAGCGCCCATATGGGATGCTGGCACTGCAGGCAGTGGCTCTACCTGCTATACCACAGCACTGGTCCAGTAAAACTTTATTTTAAAAACACAGAAATTATACAAACAAAATGCCTCAGAAAGACTAGTATATTCCAAAGATTTATTTTACAGAAATTTAATTCCTGAAACAAAAAAATGAAAGATCAAAGCATGTTTTGCCCAGCAATTAAGATAACAGTTAAGGATAAACAGAACCATGTATAGCGGTTGGTTTAAAATAACTGGAATTGGAAAATCTGCCTATCTACACAAAACTGGGATCAGCAGTGCTAGTGTCCATTTGGTTGGAAAATGGATTTCTAGCAAATCAAACATAAACATACCAAGAAGTTAAGACACGAGACCTATGATCTTTTTACATAAAATGTTGTTTCCTTCCCTCTGAAAGGACTATATATATTACATTATCATAAATGTACATGAAATTCAGGTTTAGAAATTTTCATTGCTGTTTCACTCCAAATTTTACCATATATTTTTTCTATAAAAAAAAAATGCCAGTTAAGGCACTAGTGATGTGGAGCAGTGAGTTAAAGCCACAGCCTGCAGCACTGGTATCCCATACAGGCACTGGTTTGAGTCCTGGCTGCTCCACTTTCGATCCAGTACCCTACTAATGCACCTAGGAAAGCAGTAGAGGATGGCCCAAGTGGTTGGGCCCCTATACCCACGTGGGAGACCTGGAGGTAGCTCCTAGCTCCTGGCTGAAGCCTGGCCCAGCCCTGGCCATTGTGACCATTTGAGAAGTGAACCAACAGATTAAAGATCTGTCTCTCCTCCTCTCTCTGTGTAACTCTACCTTTCAAATGATTAAAAAAAAAAAATGCCAGCTAAGTCATCCATATCCCTTATCAGAGTACCTCAGTTCAACTACCACCTCTGGCTTCCAATTCCAGTTTCCTTCCAATGGGAAATTTCACCCTGGGTGCAACAGGTGCTAGCTAAAGTAATTGGGTCCCTGTCACCAATGTGAGGGATCTAGTTTGAGTTCCTCACTACTTGCTTTGACCTAGCCTAGCCCAGACCATTGTAGGCATCTCAGGAGTGATCAGAAGTTCTGTCTCTTTCTCTGCCTCTCAAAGAAAAAAGAGAGAAGAAAAAGAAGAGAATGAGTAAAGAAAACAAAGACTACCTGCATTGCTCTGTTGTCAGGAATCATCCCTCATGTTATGATTGATCATCCAGACTTTTGAAAACTCTGTAGTGAATGAACTCTTTTAGCAGATCCTTCTATATGAATTACTATAATATGCAAATACAGTAATATGCAAGCATAAATACTGAAAATTATTTTTTCCTTTTTAAAGATTTGAAAGGCAAGCTATATAGAGAGGAGTCAGAGAGAGAGAGAGAGAGAGAGAGTTATTTTCCACCCACTGATTCACTCCCCAAATGGCCATAACAGCCAGCTCTGGGACTGGTCAAAGCCAGGAGCTGCATCTGGGTCTCCTCTGTGAATGCTGGGGACCAAGCATTTGCACCA